GCGCGTGTTTGTTTAGATAGTAACTTATGATACTGGCATTGTATTGTGCTCACGGAGTTTGTGGTTTCCGGTTTTGTCCTCCGGGCCCACTGGTTCGGGATTAACGTGGGTGTCGACAACAAAACCGACATCGTTGACCATCGGCCGCTGCCAGCGATGACTGCCTTGTTTGACACTGTATTTACACAACACGATGATAAGATGTAATCGGCGTTTCTTGCTTTTCTTCTCATTGTTTTGTAGGTTGACACGTAGCAAATTTGTTATCTATTCAGATGTCTGGACGTTTGCACACATCAGTATTGTTGGGTTCATAAAAGAATGATGTCTCAGTACTTGAATAAACACTCCCAGAGAACCAATGAGCCAATTCAGGACAATGTGTTTCCAAGAAGAAATTCTCTGGAGGATAAAAAAATTCACCCACTCCCAAACGTAAGAGGTATTGTTGACGTCAAAGAACAATTAGGAGCAATAAAGCGAGGATTGTTATAGAGTTGCAAGTGAAAATCAGGGCTGGTATTGTTGGTTGGATTCCATTTCTATTATAAAGCTTTTGGAAATGATCCATATCCAGCCACCAAAGAGCACAAACTGCTAATGCAATACACAGATGCTTATATTGCTGTCCCTTTTTACTGTAACCGGGGTACAATGTTGAAAGAACATTGAAGCAAGTTGGAGTGACTGCGTGGTGCTGTGAGGAGATCCTCCAAAACGAAGATGAAATCATCAGATTCAAGTATTATTGCTTTACAAATGATTGCAAGAGGATATTTTAGAAATGTTGAAATGATTGTTGCTGTTCGCGCTTAGAGGTGAAAAGTGGAATGCAATAGAATCTTTCAAAACAGTTTTGCGGCTCCTGAACAGTGATTGTTTTGTTGTCACTTGTTTGTAACCCTTCAAAAAAAAAAAGAGAGAAAACCATGATCAGGAAGATGCGATTTCACAGGATGATTAAGATGAAGCCTCGGTGTATTAACAATACTTTATTCTATTCAGTATCTGATAAGTTACACTGTTATAAAACAGCCACAAGAGACTCAAAATGGTTGGTCCAAGTGTTGTCTCATGTTTGTTTGTCCTTTCCAGTGATGACTGTCCCTTGAGTAACTCAGCAGTGTATGGAAACTTACAGCATCCCTTTAAGTCCAACTTTGGGTTCCTTTTCATCCTTTCATGTGTCATGTTGAAAATGCTGTCCACCGGGAATCTTATTTCCCATGATTTAAAAGAGTTCCAGCACCGGATCCTTTGGCCTTCAGCTTACGTTACAGTGCTCTGACTGACGAGAATGTCCAAGGCCACTGGTCTCCGTCTGGCCAGTTGATTCCTCCATTGAAATATTCAAAACCTCAACAGGTCATCTTGCTTCACACCGGACATGTACAAATAACTCTAAGGCAAATACAATAAATAGCTTGAAATTTTGGCAAATATACATATAACCTCTTTCCAGAGGTTGGATGAGCAACCAGTGCCTGAAGGAACAGCTTCATATCAAGCAAAAAAAAAAAAAAACACAATCCTCATATTTGGAAGGTGGCAAACTCCATCTACCGGTTTTGATCAAGCACGTTGTCGTTTGTACAAACAGTGGAATGGAATCGTTGGGAAATACATTTTAATCGTGAATGTCTTTGGTGGGGTTTGAGACCCTTTGTGGCATCAACGTTTGGGTAGGAGACTGTTAAAGACAATGAACATGATGGTTTGGTATGGTATTCGTTCCATCAACTAACACAGTGGATTTAGTCACAACAATGGCTGGGTTTAGGCAAAGCTTGTGTTAAGCAGACATATGACAACATGAACAGAATTATCAAGAATAATAGAATATTCAGAAAGATACTGTACAGTACTGACAACGATTGGTTTGTGTTGCGTTAATTAAAAGCCCCTTGGGTCTTCTACAATGCCAAAGGGCAAGGGAGTTAATGCATTTAAAAAATGGGCCAAAAATCAACCGTCCTGCTTATCAAAATGATTTTTTTCTGATGCAACCTGAGCCATATGAATTAAGTTAAATACATGGAATATGGAGCATTAAGGGTGCTCTCACACTGAGGGCCCTATTTTTGTCGGCAGGCGCATCTTCATTTTGGTACCGGGGAAACTCTAGTCTATCATGTTTGGGACCACATTGCACCTCTCCGGACCTTCTAGGGGATGCACAGTCGGTGGTGCAGGACGGTTTCCGATTGCCCAAGTCACAAGCATGACCAACGACATCATCCGCAAGGGGAGATCTTGCAGTTTACCCTTTATAAACACATTTTGCCTGCGCCAATCTCATGCACGGACCCCAGCCAGTCAATTTCTGCTTCCGCAATATCAAGCTCTGTGTGTGCTGTCCTGAATTTAAAGAGAAAAAGGGAAGCCGCTTCGATTGGCCAGGTGTCAGCTGAGCACAATGGCACAAACGCCCCCTTCTTTCTGTGATGTCCTGATGATCCAAAAATGTACAGTACATCTATCATGCATTGCAAACGTGCTAAACAGGACACATGTGCACTCAATCTTGGCGTCACTATTATGTCTTTTAGGTCTCTGCTAATTCTTTAATTTGCCATTTGAATAGGATGAAGGTCGAATTGAGTTTGACGTAAATTGATCACAGGATGCTCGTGTGAAGGCAACCTCAAATGTTCGAACTCGTTCACGTTGTCTCAAGACCTCGAGATGGTGGATCGCTGGAACATCTGCAGACCAAATGACCAACTCACTCAAACTCTCAAAACTCTCAAACACCGCTTCATTGTGTACGTGGATGTTTTGATTGTCTTTTATCAGAATCGCTCTCCCCTGCTCCATCATGGTATGTCTCTTTCTAAGCCAGGTTGTCGCTCCTCTTGCTGCACCACACCACCACAGCAATCATAGCCAAGGTGAGGAAAACGGGAATTAGGATGAGGATGGTCAGCGTGTTGTCCGGAGGGTCCACCCATACCACCTGCTCCAAGGTGCAGTTGGAGAAAAAGTGCTTGTGAATGCGGATGATGTAGCTCTCCACCAGAGGATTGGGCCAGTAGCAGTGGACAGTGAGGGATTTGGTCTCTGTGCACAGCGTGAAGACGTGGTACTCACTGTGGAGAAAATGAAGCACAATTTGAAAGGATTATCGGAAAATCGTCGATTTGGAAGCAACGTTCAAGGTTCAATAGTGTCAGATTTACGGATGAAATACTTAGACCGGTGTTAAGGAATCGCAGTATTAATATGTTTATTATGGAAGAAGTGAGCACTTTCCCCTCGATTAAGACTCAAAGTACTTTAACGAGAAGCTTTCTGATGCAAAACTACTACAGCGGCGTCAGTTACTGGCATTGAGAGCAAATAATCCATCACTGTGACATGGAATGTATTGCCTTGTACTCCCTTTTTGGCCCGGCAATCCCATTTGTCGCAACAAGCGAGCAGAGCGGTTCAGAGGCTTCATAAAGGCTTAGAGCGGAACTCTGACAAATCCATTAAAACCAGCCCCGTCCCTCCGTCTTCATCCAAAACGGCCAATCCTTCAGGTACTTTCTTGTCCACCAGTGAACACTTGAAGTGCCTCGCTTAACACTCAGTGGCTTCACAGGTGAGGAGTACGAGATCTGTGAATCGCAGCGGCGCCGGCATGAACAAGTGAACTGACTGGAAGCCTGCTCACTCATGATGAAGTCATCATAAATGATAAAACCGATCACCCTCTCGAGAATGGGACGCACCCTGAAATTCCTTGAATCTGATCTGTGGGTTTTGGACGGCACCGTGTCCAACCCTAATGAGCACAAGTGGCATAGAAAATGAATGGATGGACAGATTTTAGGTTTCTAAGGCAAAAATATTAAACAATTATCAAATACTGGTTGAAGATGTTCACTTGTGGAATATCAAACATGTATCACGGTAAGCTTGAAAGCCTCTTGACTGAGCCATAAACTACTGAGAGGCCGACCTGGCCGCTAATATATGAGCCATCACCCCCCATTGCCCGCCTTGCACTGCATGAATGTGTGCCCTCTGACGTCAAGCCGTCACTATTGTTTTGAAGGCGCTTTGCTTAAACGCGGCTAACCGAATAAACTCGGCTGCCTGTCAGAGATGGATCTGGTTTGTGTCTGCAAGGGTGTCGTACTGCACATAGATGTACATGTGGTATATTCTGCCGGGCAGTGGCAAAGGCACCAGACGTCAGCCATAAAAGAAGGATTTTGCTTCCTCTCCAACCTGAACCCGGAGGGGGGGAGGCATGATAAACAAGATGAAAATGACCGTACCCTATTTTAGTGAACGCTGGTGTGTGAGAATAGGTGGTGTTGGGAAAGGACACAAGGTCCCTAAAACGATTACATCAGGATGTGACATAAGCAAGTGATTTTTATGACAGCGCTTTTTCTTTTTGGGAAGGGGGAAGGGGGGGGGGACGGCAGAAGAGGGTGTAAAAGGACACATTTAATGAATTAGGGATGACTATTTTGATGAGTACATTGTGCATTTGTGATATGTGTCTGGCTGTGGGCTTACAAAATGGATGGCTTGCTTGTTGAGTGGTCATTTGTGATGTGTAGGTTTTTGTTTTTTTGCTTGTATGTTATGAGTCTACCAGGTTTTTTTTTTTTTAAAGGTGTTATGCAATCAACCCAAAAATTGTGCAATGTTAAATTATATTATTACTGCATTCTTGATGAAGTTTGAAATTTGTGAATAACTCATTTGGGGGTGTATGATAAACCATTAAAATGCACCGTCCCACTATCTTTTTATGTTTCATACTTAACAATACAAATGTTTAGAGACGTGCATTTCATCTGCTCTGAGAGCTCCCAAAGCACTTGACCTGATTCATGTTTGGTTGCAACACTACCGGTAAGTCTATGGAGGCCATTACAACGTAAAATATTCAGTTTGCCCTTTAGCGTGCGCCCCCAACTCACATCAAACTAAAAACGTGGAGTGCATTTAAAGTGGAACCGCTAAGGTTGAACAAAGTTCATTCTGGAATGCTGGTCAATCTCAGAATTAGAAGGTAAAAAAAAATTCTCATTCGAAATCATGTAAATAAGAAGCATTTGTTTGCATAAATCCTTTATTAACTGGATGGGCAATTTTAAAGTAACACACACATTCTTAAAATGTGAAATGCATGTGTAAAAATATGTTACTCTGTCAATATTTCAAAAGAAAGGCTCTGGTGACAAAAGGATAATAGATGATTGTGGTACACATTTCACTTTTCAACTCTCAAAATTGCGAAACAAACCTGATAGTGGGTAGGCCAATAAACAGTCCATGAATCTGTTTCACCAACAGATTAACACTGTGCAACACATTCAGTGCTTTTGCTTCACAGGCAAGATTAGGTTTACCTTCTCAGAGTGAATGATCAGTTGGTTGGATTTGTGACTGGCGGAAAGTGAGTGAGCAATCGCAAGCGGCCCTCAAGGGTGCCAGACATCTTTCCATGATCTCAAATCCGGATAAGGTGGCACCACAGCTCCTTAAGACTTCCCGCCCCTGAAATGTGAAGCCTCTCGGAACAGCAAATCAATTCAAAAGTCATGAGGAGGTCAATGATGGATTCCCATAATTGCAGGCAGAAACACCGAGGCTCCCGGTCTTCCATCCGACTCACGTTATACAACAAGCTAAAAACCTCCAAACATCGTCTGAGTTGTTTGTGCAGCGGTTGCGCCACGGGGAAGCGCAAGAAGCCCTGCAGGGGTCACCGCTTGTTTAAACATGAGGTGCTTTGCTCTCTGAGCCTGACCCTCTCTCGCCGCCCCGGTTCCCTTGTTTGCGGCAATCTCAGTATGGATGCCATTCTCTCAAGACTCCTCCTCAGATCCGCCGCCCTGCTGCGTGAGCTCACGTGCATCGCCTCCAAATTACAATCAGGACATGTCTCTGCATGGTTCGCCGCTCTTGTGACTCGGCACTCGCTTCCGCTCTCTAATTGCCAGCAAACACGTGTGTCATTTCCCAAAGCAAAGGCATCATTGTTTGAAAGTCAAGTGATGCAACAGCGTGCTTCCTGTGTCAATTCTGCTGGAAAGTCAAAAGGAGAAAGTCAGGGGAGACTTTAAAATAATACAGACTTGGACTGAGTTCAGAACTTGCACTCTCCCACGATATCCGGGGCCAATTTTTTTTCTTGTTCAAGACAAATCCCAAAATGACAAGTTCGTATAACGCAGTAATATATATCATGATAGCCTGTGCTTTTCCTACACCTACCCCCCCATATATGTATGTGTGTGTGTGTGTGTGTGTGTATCTATCTATCTATCTATCTATCTATCTATCTATCTATCTATCTATCTATCTATCTATCTATCTATCTATCTATTTTTTTTTTTTACCCTGTGGATAACTACTCTTTGTTACAGTGGTTCGGAGCATTTTCTTTTTAAAATGTTTTTGTGCATGTTCTCTTTGAAACACAGTGGTGCCTACATCCTGTCCGTATGTGCACCTCGTCATCTTTTCAGATGTTTCCGAGCACGCCTCAAGTCAAACATCTGTCTGCACGACCAAGTTCAAGAGGCTAATTTGAGCACTCAAGCAGACGTGGTATGTGAAATGTTGGTCACCATCCTCCTGGATTTACTCCATCATATTCATCTTGTGGTCATTAAAAAGGAGCCGTTTTAATCGTCCACGTTTGTCCGACAAGTCACCTCTCGTCTTGCTCTTCTCTCTCAGCCCGCAGTCGCAGGCACGCAAGTTCAAAGATCAGAAGAGAGAAATGAGGTGAAAAGTTAGCTGCAGACAGATTGCTGAGGCTGAAGTGCTTCTTAAGAGTCCTCCTTTGGGGGGAGAGCAAAACTAATTCTAAATACAGTATAGTATAAACATTTGCAGTGTATCTGTGCTTGTGTGCAATATACTGTATGTGTTATCTGTCAACTCCAATTAGTGATGACATCTGCTTAAAAATGTGTGTAGCAAGCAGTTGACTGTAGAATGACAAATCCAACAGTGATGCTTTTCAATAAGTAAATCTGTTCTAAAGCATTACAAATAGAAATGTATGTTTAATTCTTTACATTTCAATGTTTTCGGGACAGTGAGAGATTTCCTGGCCGCTTAGCAAGGCTGTCTTTGGGGGAAAATATGCAGCATGGGTCTGAGCAAAGGTCCTTTTCAAAATTTGCCACTTTGGAAACCAACATGTGGATGTCCGATATTCAGACCAATCTGGCGTGAAGTATTCCTACACTTTGAAAATTGTGGACTTACACATTGCTGCAATCAGTAATAAAAACATACGTAAACGGCCTATAAGTACCTGATAAAGTGGGTGAGGTTGCACCAATACTGAGGGTCTATGTGAGCCATATCGCGCTTGAAGTCTTCGCCACAGACCTCCACTTCCCACTCCAAGCGCGACTCGTTGCAGGCTCTCCCTGGCCTGGCAGAAGTGGGTTCGATGTGGAAACTCTCAGTCGCTGGCAAGTAAGATGTGGGGAGACAATAATTAATACGCTACACACATTGGTTAAATCCAACTTTGATTGAATGAGTGGATGCCTGCTTACCCGAAAAGCCGCCTACCATCCAGGCATTGACTGCAAATAAACAAACAAAAAATTCAATGTCGGCTTCTGTTGAAAAGACATGTTTCCAAAACGTGAATTTAATTGGAAATAAGCCACAAACAGCTTATTTCTTTTTTTTTTTCCTGACATGCACATCTGTCTCCCTAACCTTTAGCCCTCCATGTTTTCATCCCCTCTGCCGTTTGCATCATTCTGATCATGCTGCATGCATTACAACTACCGTTGTTGTGTCATTGGCCATGTTTACCTTTGCAAAGATCACAAAACACGCACACACAAACACACACACACACACTCGGGCAACGTGCTGCCCCATAATGTTGGCATAAAATGTTTTATTTTGCTGAGGAATCATTTTGTTTAAGACTTAGTGCACATTATTACAATGTCATAAAAAAAAAAAAAAGCACACACACATCAACTAACTTGAAAAACATGTGTATGACTTCTTGTCTATGCATGACGTCCGACTAAATTCCCACGAGAACAGTCTCGTGCGTTACACGTGGAGGTGTTTCTCTGAAAAATGCAGAGCGTTCCTCCTTGCTGGATTCAGACAGCGATTGAGTCACGCTCATTCCGTTCCCTTTCGTTGGATCACACCCAAGCGCAATTGTGAAACGGCTGAAGAGATTTGAGCAAAGGCAACCCTTTCTGCAGTCCAATGTAGAGGTAAAATCAAAACGGTTGTGAATGACAAAAGTCAAAAGAACACAGGAAAGGTGTGTTTTTTCATCCAATTTCGATGTTGCACTTCAAAAGCAGAGGATCTGTATAAGACGCCCCATGGGGGGTGGGGGGTGGGGGGGGGACACTGAATGCAAACAATCTGCTCAATTGAGACTTTCCCGTAGGAGGATTTAAAGGGCGCACGGAGGTCGACTCATTCGGTGATGACGTTTTCGCTTTGTGCTACTTACTATACTTCAAGTGTCACCAATGTGGTGCCCGCGGGCACCAGGTAGCCCCCAGGACCACATGAGTACCCCCCTGTAAAAAGAGGTTACCAGTGATGGGACATGGTGCTTTTTTTTAAAGAATGTTGTAGAAGCGATCGTTTGAAAATGTAAACACTGGCAGAGATTTACAGATCCAGATCAAAGTCTTGCATATTGGCATTTACTTGTTCCCTAAATATTGGGATAAATCATTAACGTGATTGGCGTCTTTGCATGAATGAATATAATTATTATCATAATGATAATATAATGTCATTCAGGTTTTCTCTTGCCTTTAATTTCTGTGAACAAAAATTCTCTTGACGGCGAGTCCAAAAATAGCATCCGTCCTCACTCAGTATAAATACATCTTGCTCCCACGCCAGCGATCCGTCTAAACAAATGTCCCATCTGCAGCTGTTGATAAGAAAACCGCTTGGAATAGCGCAAAGCTTCTAAAGACAAATGGCGTGCCAAAATATGCCACAGCATTATGTATTTGCGGGATTACATTTACATTGCTGCTGAAATGTTTGAAGAAGTGACGAAGAAAAGAATTCATTTTTTTTCATAGAACCAATGTTGTGAAATAGTTTTAAGAAATGGTGGGGGCCACTGTTTTTTTTTAACATTTTTTTTATAGTTACTGGGTAAGAGGAGAGTAACCACTTTTAAGTTACAATTTCCTTTTGTCATTTTTTTTTTTTTAACACTGCAATAAATTGCCTGTCCGGTTGTACCCCACCTGTTAGGTGGGGTAGGCTCAGCAGCGCTCCTCATGAAGACAAACACGAGAGAAAATAAATGGAGGGAACTGTTTATTACGCCTCATAATGCATTACTTTTTCTATGTGAAAAAAAATACTAAAGGGATAGATTATGAATGCTCAAAGTACAAATGATTGATGTTGGACGGTATTTGTGATTCTGAATCCACTGCGCCTGCATCATGAGCCGTATGAGCAGCAGCAAAGTGCGTGCAAAGAATTAGTTTCACCCAGTGGGATCGTGCCAGGTTGGGATTCGCTTCAAATTGCCAAATTGAGATTTGGATTGTAGCAGAGTGCCAAAAGAGAGAATTTCACTAAGCGGCAGTAAATTATTTTACAACAGAATTGAAACTTGCACTTGGTGTATGAAATCCAAATAAGACGCTCTTAGCATTCATTTGGAATCACATTTATGGTCACTTAAGGTGTGTGAGAGGACAGCAGGTGGAGGCCAAACGTTGACTACCTTTTGCGATGTTTGCGTCATGCTTTTGAATAGTATATTCACTGACTCAAATATGAAACTGCATTCATAAATTCATCCATGAAAGTGATGACTCCCGAAAAGGAAGAGGGCAACCCAGCCAGCAGCCTCTCCGCCGTTTACACTGCTTATCGGCTTCAGTGTCGAGCCTCCTTAACGCCCAGTTCACATCCAGTCCCCCCCGGAGAGAGCCGTTATTAAAACAATCTTCTAAAATAAAAGTCAAGCTGGCCTTTCAAAAATAACATCAGCAACAGTGCTCGTTTCACTCAAGGATGAATGATGGGCTTTTGGCACCGCTGCCATCCAACGTTTGTTTGCCTCGAGAGAGAAATGAGGAGAGGAAATGGAAGATGAATGAATGTGTCGATTGATTCCGGAGGTAATTGAAGCCCGGCCAAAGAGGTGCTTCTTGGTGGTCAATCTAATTGTCTGCATCATTAGGTGCAAGTGACTTGCATCGCCGAGGGGAGGTACTGCATGTATTTACTCGGAGGGGGGTCTTCAGCCTCTCGCCGTAAAGCATTTCGCTGCAGTTGCCCTTTATCAGGCAGCGAACCACGTTACATCAATAAAGTGAAACCCTGCAAACCAAACCACCTGGGAAAATGTTGATCAGAGATGAGCATGCGAATAACCACATCAACAAAGAATGTTTCAAAAATAAAATAACAATGTTGACAGTTTTCATTTCCAAGTATTTCCCCCCCCGAGTGTCCCGTAGAGTTCCGTATGTTTTTTTTTTCGTTTAAACGCAGAGAAAGCAAAACTGCAAAATGCATCCCAAACAGGATATGAAGTGGTGTGAGTGCGTGTCTATGCCCAAGGGCGACTTGCCTCCTGCCTTTCTAATCTCATGGCTTAATTGGGATAGGAAAGGACCGATGCTCACTCAACTTCCTGAACAACCAAAGTCACGCACGTTTCAGCAAATATTCAGACCACAAGAGAATGTTGCTTTTGTTGCCGATGTTGATTTTACGGCCAGAGACAATAATTATGCGACCGGAGTGTAAACACAACCTAATGAGAATAAGAGTTATAAAAAAGAAGGTGGGTTTGCAAGATTTAGGAGCAATTATGGCCTTTGCATGTGAGGGATCGACTGACTGCATACTGCAGGGTTGCGGTCGGGCTGTTGGGAGAGAAATCACCTCGTGCCTCCTGACTTTCATCTGCTTGTTTTGTTTGTAGCCCTGTGTGAGCTGAGATGCGCGCCAAATAACAATTTAGTGCAACCCAAAGTAAAAATGTTCACATTCCACATTTTGAAACGAGTGTCTTATTGATAAAAATCCCGCCAAATCGGTTTGCATCTGCCAGAATTGCCGTGCGGGTGATGTGTCTGACAAGTGAGGAAATGTGTTTGTCAGGTTTTGTTTGAGTGTTTCGAATTGGATCTTCCAGTAGTTGTTTCTGTGTTGTCATTCAATTTAATCGAGTTTTCCGTTTTAGGAAGGTAAAACTGGCCTTCGAGGCTGAGAGCCAGGGCTTAATGTGCCATCAGATCCGAAGGCCTTTAATCCACTGCATGTTGCCTCATATTTTATTTTGGAGTTTATTCAGTGGCTTCTTTCACACTCTCTATTTGATTGCTTGTAACTCTGCACTGACACAAAATGTGACATGAATATTTACAGTATTGATGTGTGACTCTGAGACATGTTTTGTTTATAAATGCTGCAGTTACTCCAAGTATTATATAAAAGTGTGACATCGAGCCCCGGTCGCCTCGACTGGCCCCGATCAGGGACTCGGGTGAGCCAGAATCCGTCCCACCTCTTCGATGAACCAACCATGCGTGTATTTGGACATGAGATGGGAGGAAGATGCCTTTCCCAAAGAAAATCCACGCGCGCGCTGGAAGAACACGCACACCCCGCGCAGGAAGGCCACAAAAGATCAACCTCAAAGACAGACTTTGAAGCAATGAGGCAGACATGCGAACCGCTCGGTCACACATGCTGCCGGGAAGAGTGTCTTCCTTCCTGATTTGCGATTCCTTTCTCTTGAGTCTGGGGGGGGACTCACAGACGCTCAAACAAAGCCTGGGGGGTCATCTGCTTGAGGTCAGCGAGGCGGATCGCTGATGGCGGCTGGCGTTTCAACCAATTCCCTGAAGTGCGGCAGATGTCACGAAAGGCAGGTTGAGAGTTGAATGGATTTCAAAAGCATGAGCTCTGCAGGTCCGCCACACTGTCAATTAGCATTCTATCCATGCTTTCTGTTCAATTACTTTTTTTTTTTTTTTTTTTTAGTATTGCAGCCTGCGAAATCACCTGGTAGCCTTCAGGAGATGTTCATCTCATTTGAATCACAGCAGCGTGTAGTTTCGGATTGGCGACTGTGATTTGAATCGTAATCCAAATATTGTGTGGAGTTGGCCTCTAAGGTTTATGATGCCACAAAACTGATTCCAAGGGAATGCGACCTCCAGTGGTAACAAGCGCCACCAGTGTAAACAATATGCAGAGGTCTTAAGTTAACATGTACATGCGGCGTCTTCCAAGCCATTGTGTTGTGTTACAGGCACTTAGGAAGACGAGCGTCCCATCGGTTCTTGTGCCCCAGCTTGCTTGTGGTTTTGCGTGGAACAAATATCAGGACAGGGGACGCGATTCAGACTCTCGTCAGAATCCTCATACACCTCGACACAATCTAAATGTACCATTTCGAAAACATTTCAGACCAAAAATAGACCAAAGCATCTTACTTCAGTTGCCTCATTGATGAAGCAAAAAAAACAACAAAACCAAAGCTGGAACAGAACACTCTCAGCTTACAAAAGTCCAACATTTGTTGTTTGGCATTACATCATGACAGACATCGTGCCCGATTCCACTAAACATGCCCAACAGTAGTAACGTTCTCATGGCCCTGTGTTTCAAAAGAGCAGATGTTCAAAAATAAGTAGGACATTAAACCTCAATTGTCTTTCGGCTGTGGATCAACTGACATCAAGCATTTTTCCCTTGGTGCTCATTCAAAGACGCAACATCACTTTATGGTTGTGAGAGACGCTGTCCACCCCCACGTTGTCTGTCTGTGAGGACAAAAAGTCAAGCTGACACAGCCTGGCAGCAACTGCAGAGCCAAAACGCAGCAGCGCTCTCACTTTGGTCAAAAATGGCCAACATGCCAATAAGAACCACGAATCATCAAGTCACTCAAATCCTACTTGGCGCACTTACTGACAAATACTGAACCATCAAACCATGACGTTTGAAAAAAAAAATACCCCTCAAATTTCAAATTTAGGCCCATGAAAGAATGTTCAACTTTTTAACAGTTTATAAAGGTGTTATGATGTCGTCAGTCTGAGCCAAGTTATCCCGAAAAAAAAAAAAGTGAAAATATAAGTGTCATGAGGCCACATCCTGGATAAATTAAGTTTTTTTTCCCCCCCGCACTTTAACATAGTTGCTTGGCAACAACACGCCACAAGGTGTGGCCAAAGCAAAGTGTTTCTGTCACGTAACATTGGAAGGCACGGTGAAATGTAATGCGTCTTCCCTTGTAGTTTTTGCAAAACATAGAATTGAAAGAAGAACAGAAGACGATCTTCTCATTGTCCTCTGCCACTTCCTTCTCCTCTGCCGTGAGCGGGCTCAAAACGTCGTGGCTTCTTGGCTTAAAAGGCAAATCAAGTCCAGCGTTTTATTTGCAGTAATATGATCGATGTGCCGCCGCTGGTCCAAACATGGTACTCGGTTTGCTGTCGCATACTTCAATTTACGAGCAGCGGCATTTGAGGAGAAAACCTCATCATTCAGAGAAGGAAATGGAGCAAAATGATGTCACGATTGCCATAGCTCGCGAATAAGCATTCGCAGTCAAGTTTGGCCACGGGCCAAAGCCGCTTGCTGTCAGCAACGCTGGTGATCGATGAGAGCGGCTGTTGCGAGTCAGCGCATCCGCCATGAGCTGGCTTGATAAGTGGACCCGTGTGCAGCTTGTCGCTGCTGAATTTTCCTCAACCGCTGAATATTTATCAACCGGTTTTGTCAGTAAATAGGGCGGGCAGGAAGGGTTGACAGACGACACATTCTAGTGACTTTGAGCACGTAATGACGGAAATACGCTGGCCCCGATAGTGTTTTCAAATAAATACGAAGTTGATTTAAGTGAATAACATCAGGTGGAAACTTTTGACATGTTGGCTTGCGTTCCCCTCTCATCGTCGCACCTTGACAAAGTTTCTGAAAAACTAATTTTGCGAAAGCCATGCTTGGCAAACGTAACGTCCACTGAAGTACACATTTGTCGTCATACTTGCAAAGCGTGGTTTCGATGCAAATCTTTTCCTTTTTCCCGTTTACTTTTAGTTATCCCGTAAATCTGAAATGTAATGATGTTGATATGCATGTCTCGTGTCTTGACCAAAAGTGTCTCTTGCCCTAAGTCGGCCACAGTAGGCTACAGGTTATCCCGTAAATCTGAAATGTAATGATGTTGATACGCATGTCTCGTGTCTTGACCAAAAGCGTACGCCCACCCGTCTCTTGCCCTAAGTCAGCCACAGTAGGCTACATTTCAACGCTAATGAGGACAACCCGTCTAGAAAATGGCCGGAGAGATCGATAAACAAAACAAACCACAAAGATTAGCCACCTGCACATTGTAGAATAGAACGGACCAAAATTCAGCACGTCAACAAAACTAAACAAAAGGCGCACAAGGATTCTTTCCCATGTCAGCGGCACAGAGGAGGCCAAAGGCTTTTTCCCGGAGAATGAAGGACGAGCCGCTTCTTTGCACTCAGTAGGACTCCTTCCTCTCCTTCCATCGTGCGGACGGAGAACTTACAGTACACAGATGCAAACCGCAGGCCTTGCTGTGAAAGTAACAGATCACAGGGACTCGGTGGCTTGTTTCTCTGAAACAAACTGCTCTCACACCGCTTTCCCTCTCCCAACAGGGATGCTTGATGGGAAAATCTTGTCTAGACCGGGGCCACAATGGGGAAATCCCTGCTGCACGGACAGTATTTATTGCCATCTGATGCAACCTTATCACTCTGTCCTGCGTATTTTTTTTGCATTGTACCAGAAGCAGAGAGGGAAAAATACAAAGAAAAATGGCAATGCGAGCACGATGCCTGAGCACTGCCGTAAAGGCCGCAGCTGTCACGTGGCTGTGATCCATGGAGGGGGAGGTCCCAAGTGAAAGCCAAACACAGACCACATCCTCAAGTCTCCTACGAGGTTTTCAAACGGCAAAAAGTCTGACTCGACTCGGTTTGAGCTCGTCCTCCCTCATTGTGTCACAATCTGATGGAAATGACAAAGGCGAGGCAAAATGCTTGAAATTGGAATTCTGCAACTCGTGTCAAGTGCGGACACCGTGTAATGTCGGTCAGTGTCGGGTAATGTGACGCCAAGGCTGACTCTTCAGGACACAATCAGCTCCTGATAGCCACGCCGCGTTGTTGAGTGACTCCCCTCGGCCCCCTCTTTATCACCATCAACCACTTTTGTTGTCCCGGGAGCACCACTGAAAGTGCATCCTTTCGCAACCTTGCATTTCAGTTTTCAATTTCAGGACAGTCCAGCGTTCCCTGATTAGTCAACAGACACGAAATGGTGGAAATGTCCGGTCTAAGTCAAGCTCCTAATAAGGCAGGATAGGTTCCCCCAAAAAAATAACTCCATAAAATCCTCAACCAGATAAAACTGCAAATTCCGAACCACAAATTTGCAGGGGTTCTTTGTACTTTACTTCAGCTAAAATCAGTCCTCAGATGAATCACTGTAAACCATCACAGTTGTTCATATTCTAATCCCACAATTGTTGCTGGGGGGGCGGGGGTAAAAATACAGATACTGTGCCTGAAAGAAAAATGAAAAACAAGAAAATGTTTCCCAAAAGCAGCAGAATATGAGCGAAGTTTATTCAACCGCACCATTTTGTCTGCTCTGCATTCAATTCAAATGACATATAAAAAGGGAAAAGCGCGCCGAAATTGGCTGAATTCATTAAGTACGCACTACCCAATATAATAATAGTCTCCTGATCAACACAGGAAAGAAAAGTGACCGATGCAGACCACCCGAAACTCTTTTCACTCCATCGCGCCAAGCATTTGTCCACAAACTGGTGATTCGCAACGTTTCCACCACATGACACATACTTTCATACATGATTGAATCCTTTAAGGAGCAGCGGATGAGCCGGATCCAGAAGGTCCCATTGGCCTTGATATAGGTCAACTCTGTCCACTGGGGCATGCTCTGGTGTCGTCCCCCTGCGACGCTGGTCAGGGAGTGCTTGTTCATGATACGCTTGTGATTTCTCTGTGAAGCCTGACTCATTGGACCCATGTCACCCAAGTCACTGAGCTAACACTAATTCATACTCTGGATCTCAATTGATTAATCAAGAATGCTGTCACATGTGGAATAGGCACAAGGCATCACAAACCATTTTGGGCCCTATTTTGGCCACAACCAGCACTTTCCGCCGGTTTGCTCTGAACTACATCAAGAACAAGATGATATGCACAAAGCGCGTGTACAAAATAAACATACCATTGCCCAAAAAACAAATTCATACGCAAGTCCGTGATGTTTCCGTTGAATAAGTGCAACAATTAAAATACGGAGAACACTCGGCTTCGGTGACTGTTTTAAAGTACACTCGCACAATCCATTGGGTTCCAATTGAACGTTGCGCTCAAAACAATCGTACATTTCCGCGCGGAGCTGCACTACATCATACTGAGAGATGTTTCTAGTATTTCGGTTAACTTATCTAGTCATATGAAAGATACATAAATGTATATACTGCTCTCAGTATGACACCGTGTGATTCCGAAATGGAGATCATCAGGTGTGCCGTGCAAATTCATTTGTCCAAAAATCATTTATTGATAAGAAATAATGTATATTTGTTCGTCTACCTATGCCGGTGACCTATAGGGATGAGTCAGACAATTAAATATTCTTCTACATTCTGGTAGACGGTCCATAATCAACTTGCGCGTCCACATTTTATCCACTACGCATGAATGTGTCGCACGTTCTGAAAGGTGAAGCTTCATGCAATTTGGTCCCCCAACCACTGCCCTAACAAGTAGACACGTTTTAAATAGTGCACTCATGCCTTATTAAATTGTGCAGGTGAAACTAATGCAGTGCGGTCTGTTAATTTTTGTGAGTGGGATAAATATGGCATCAAATCATTTTAAATGATACATTGTAGTTTGTATTTTCTCGTTTTGAATGCGGGAAAAACAAGTGCACTCACCCAAAATCCCAACAACAAAAAGTTTCAGCACTGCAAACTCATTTGTATCCATCCCGCTGTGTGGATCCAGTTGGACTCTGAATGAAAGCTCGGCTTCAGCTGGGTAAAAATGTACATTTGAAGCGGACCATTATTATCCCTAACACACAAAACCAAGTTCCGTCATGCCATCAGCTGACTCGAGACAACCGAAAAAGGATTCGAATGGGAATCCGAGAAAGCCCCCCTCACACATACACACCCAAAAAGACAAAATTCCTGTGCGTGATCCCCGTGATGATAATCGAGACTTGTCTGTGGCGAAGAGTCAGAGCTCAGCACCAGTCCCGCATCCCGATGAGGGGGAGGTGGAAGAGGAGGAGCGGTGCAATTGAACTACGCTGCCATCACGAACCTTTTGGGCGCGTCTCAGTCAGTGCTATTCGTTCATTTTTCCAGATAAATAGAACACCAATCGTCCAATATCGGATGTTATAAATGGCATTGTTCCGTTCCGCGCTTTATTGACTATTTTTCGGACTGCCCAATTAAATGTGGAAGTACTGTGCCTGTTTCTGGGCGCGTCTCAGTCAGTGCTATTCGTTCATTTTTCCAGATAAATAGAACACCAATCGTCCAATATCGGATGTTATAAATGGCATTGTTCCGTTCCGCGCTTTATTGACTATTTTTCGGACTGCCCAATTAAATGTGGAAGTACTGTGCCTGTTTCAAAAAAAAAAAAAAATCTAACATGACAACACTGACCTCGTGTGGACATTTAATCTCAGCAAACCCTGACATCAGATATCCAGCTTTTGACCTGTAGCTGTGGCACACAAGTAACACCACTAGGATGCACATCGAGTAAAACGGTCTCCAATACGAGTCCAACTTTTGGCCCACTAGTACACAATCAACGTAAATTTAATTTAAGTCACCTATTGTGCCGCACGATCAATATTTCCACTTTCTCAGGCGCATTTACTAAGCTTGTGTCACGTTCCAGTTAGTAGTTTTGCTTCATTAGTGACATGGAGTTATCAAATGCCAATGACCTGACCTGTTGGAAGTTTGTTGCCCTGAAATTTTGAAGTCACTCAACATTTTTTTACAGTGTAAAAACAACAAAAGCGTTTTAATCTTTCAGGCAACAGTTTATACTGTACACGACACTGTATCTGGCCAGGGCTGTCGGAACCAGTCGTGCTGGCCGATGTCATTTATATGAGCAATGGGACTGTTTATTTTACGAGTCAGATTCCAAATTCATCTCAGGAGGCCAAATACCAGACCCACGTTGACATCACAGTTTGTATGTAATTTCTTATCAATCCACTAGATAGCAATGTCGAGCCAGTGCAAGCATTAATAATAATGTGAGTTCATGATGCGACATTTGCATTCCGGCAGTGGCTACGCAAAATAATTTGATTGACTTTCTAAACCCTTAAAGCCAAATTGAAGTATTTTTGCATGTTATTACATGTCATGCTTATCGTATTTCAGACGATACATCAATATATATAATATCAATCCATCTATCAATTTTCCAATCGGTTTATAGGCAGCCGAAACACTAGTTGCCATCCAATCGCAGTGCAGATATATATAACTGTACAAATATATACTTTTTATCTTCTTTATTATGTTGTTGTCGTCTCACGTTTTTGACTGTTATTTGCTGAATTACCTGAATCAATTCACACCCATTTAGAGAGCGCAGGGGTCACCAACGTGGTGGCTGCTGGCACCTGTTTGCCCCCCAAGGAACATGAGGAGCCTGTTCTAAAACGAGCTCCCCAATGAAGTGATCATTTGAAAATGTTAATATTTGCAAAGATGTGTAGGAATGAAGTGGTGCATATTGATACTTAAAAGTGTTTTTTCCCTTCTCAGAATACTGCAAGTAAAAAGAGGGAATGTATTTCGTGTGCAGAGCCATAACTGCAGGGACTGTATCAATTAGATTTTGTTTGGTCGTACTTCTTCAAGGAGTTCATCGTTATTACTCAAGTACTTGTACTTTTACTTCAGCACAGTCTACGTACTTTCACTATCTGCGCTGTGGTTTATTGCAGGGGAAAGTTCCATGCGTGCTCTTGACCAGCAGGTCGCGTTTGGATTTCCTGCCCGTCTATTGCGGTGGACGGCTGCTCGACTCTGGTCGTTCACGCTACGGGTGTAAATTCCACACGTCGTGTTTAAGATGCGCGTGTCTAGTCAACCTGGATCACCGAACCGGTTCAAATAGAATGCCAACAACAAGTGACGCAGTACACTCCGAGCTGACAGTTCGAGGAGAGACGGCGACGCCTCCGCACGGGGATGCACACGTAGCGCGGAGTTCGACTGCACGGTGAGTTCGAATCGATTGGAATATGTATTTATATTTGTTTCGGAGAGCTTTATGCTACGTTTGTCTCGTTGTGTGTGGATTTCGCCCGTTTTTTCCGTGTTGTGGCTGTTGGGCTGGAGCGCCGAGTAGTTACTCACGCTGAACCTCGTTTATGAACTCCGTGTTTAAATGTTCAACTTGTCCATGATGCTCCCGCATCTGCTGTAGCTGGTCAAAACACTCCTTTCACTGACCGTGAAGTTATTTCCAGTCGTTCGGCATTCTGGTTATTGAGCATCTTCGTTGTTGTTGTTGTTTTTTTTGTTGTTGTTGTTGTTATTGTCCAGCGAGAGACGCTACATTTGTCCATACTTTACTTTAAATGGTGAATATTTTGTCGTTTGGAGCAATCTCATAAATGCGAGCAAACATCGACAGTCGACAGATTAATTTTTTTTAAGTCGATTTTAAACCACTTCAAAGCATGTGCATCACATATTGAGTGTGGTTTGGATTTTTATTTATTTATTTTTATTTTGGGGCAAACACACGTGCCGTCCTTTCCTCAGAACAGGATATTTTGCATGTCTGTTCATAGAAGCTTCGTACGTGTGTGTGATTGAATTCTAAGACGATATTTTTTGAGGCTTAGGTCCGATGCACATTCAGATCTGCAACAGAACTATCACCATGGATACACAAAGCCAGTGGCTGCGCAACTTCCACTTCTTTGCACTTCAAGCCATTTACAGGCTGAAGGATTTGCTGTCTCTCTCAAAGCGTGACAGAGTGGAGGTGTGGGTCTCTATCAAACAAATCTGGTTTTGCCCAGGATTCACTTTCATGTCTCTAATCACTGCAAGGTATTTAAAATTCGCTGGAAAGAGACATTTAGGGTATAAATCATTTGCAGTTGGAACATCTCAATTACGTGTTTGTCCGTGTCGAGTACACACCCACACTTAGTTCGGTCGGGATCCTTGTGGTTATGTAAGTGTTAGTTGCCTGAAAAGGCCACACACCCACCAGTAGTGCGGCCCTCAAACCGGAGCCGACATAGCTCACACGCAATGTTTCAGATTAACGAGCCTGTCAAAGAAAACAATTTGTCATCAACCTGAAAGTCATAAAAGCCAACGGTGACATAATTCGTACAGTTGTGAGAACGTGCATGTTACGATACACAAATGCTGGGAACAGTATGTTGTGAGTCATATTATTGGGTGTCAACAAAAGATGAATAACTTTGTAAAAGCAGAATCTTGTGTTGGAGTGTTCCTAATACTGTGGCAGGTTGGTGTATGCAAAACCACGACGGAAAAATAATAAACACAAAAACCCTACAGTCGATGCCCTTAGCTTTGCCGGTTTGTCTCTTTCAAGTCTGTACTTGGCAAGCTTATTAGCAGTTGATGACAGACTCCGAATAATTTATGGACCCCTGAGGGAAATTGGTGTGTTATAGGGCGGAAAATATCCCAGAAAATGTCCAGAGGTGGACATCTCCACAGCGCCTCTGAATGTTCCTCTGGCTTGCTGGTTGAACGCGATGATGGCGAAGAAGCGTTGAGAGTTCAGGTCGAGCGCGCGTGAAGTGTTTTGATTTCTTCTCATGGCCTGCGGGAGTGTCAGGACCAAAGACGTCCGCATGAAAGGTGTGTTGAGCTTCAAGACGTTCCTCCCCTCTTTGTAACTGTCTCTCTTGTCGGGTCATGCAAGTCTTCTTTTGTAAGCCAGACATTATGCGCTGAAGAGCAGCTGTATCAGACATGTGACCTTGGGCACTTGGCTTTTGTAGGAGCAATTTATGATGTGCCACTCATTTGATGCCTTCGCACAAAGTGATCAGTTCAACGGCAAATGGATGACGGTCGGTCTTCCTCTCTCACTTCTAAAATCATGACACATAACTGTTGCCCTAACGTGCGGGGTCATGTTTGTGCGAATGCCTCGTCTTTGTCGTGTCGTCATGCTCGTCGAGAGTTGTTACAGTGGTGTGGGATCAGCATATGCGCACTTGAGCAGCAATCTAAGTGGGTGTTTTAAGCTCTGTTATCTGCGTGTAAAAGAAAGGGTGGCGCGTGCGCAGTCAGATTACATAACGGCTGCTTATCAGTCAAACTGATTACATGAGCAAGCTGATCTACGACGGAGATCTGAAAGAATGAAGCGGGTCATTTATTGGAAGACATTGCACTGCACATCGACGCACTTCATTCGATAAACCTGCAAACTGTAATAGGAGGCAAGACAAAAGTTTGACATCCCAACATGACAACATCATAATACTTTGATTGACACTGTCAGGGAGCTAAAATTTCTTTCCCTCGGCAAACAAGGAAAAACAGTTTAAATAACGTGACGTCATTTCGGGTTGAAACCTGTCATCAGCTTCAACAATGAACAGGAACCCGACTCAGTAAAACAAAAGCCAAAGATGGAAGAAATCCAGGACTTGATGTTTGTACTTCTTGGCACCGTAGTGCTTGTTGTTCAAAGAAGACGACAACATTTGCATGAGAAAAGCCTGTGATCCAGATAATGGGCGGCTGTGGATCTGCTGTTGCTCCACACTTGAGCTGATGCATCACCGAGTTGGAATCCTGACTTAAGCGTGACTTCGCATCAGGTCACGTTGTGCTCTTTTTAACTTGAACCCAATGCAAACTTAATTGCATAATTGCAGTATTTGGTTGTTGGTTATTTTTCAAAATTGTTCATCCTAACCACTCAGCATGAGATACATTTCTACTGCACTGCAAACCACAGGTGGCGGCCCGGCGGTCGACCGGTCAGCACGTCGGCCTCACAGTGCAGAGGTGCAGGGTTCGATTCAGGCTGCGGAGTTTACATGTTCTCCCCGTGCCTGCGTGGCTTTTCTCCGGGTATTCCGGTTTCCTTCCACATTCCAATAACGTGCATGGCAGGGTAATGGAACACTGGAATTGTCCCGAGGTGTGAGCGGGAATGGTTGTGTGCCCTGCGATTGGCTGGCAACCAGTTGGGGGTGTACCCGGAGATGGCTGGGATGGGCTCCAGCATGCCCGCGACCCTCGTGAGGAGAAGCGGATTAGAAAATGGATAGATGCAAACCACAGTCCAAAAAAATATGACGTAGCGCATGTAATTTAAACAAATTCCTCTCTGACGTTGTCCCTCAAAATTGGGTCTTATTGTCTTTTCTAATGAATGATTATTTTGATCTGACTTTGCAGACGGTGGGACGGGTATGAAACTCCATGTCTGCAGCCTCCTCAACGCCGTGCCATCGCACATGAGAGAAAGCCCAAAGGTGAAAGACTCATCTGACAGTCAGCATTAAGCTTTAATGCGGTCTGCTCTCCGACTGGTTTCTTGTGGTTGCGCCTCACTGGGCAGGTTGATATCTTGCAAGTCTGAATGAGTTGGTGCTCCACGGTGAACGATTTTGTGTGTCTTTTACTTATTGGGAGTGGCGTGCTCGCAATCTATCTTTTCCCATTGGGTTTTCAAAGTCTAAGCAATCGCCTTGAATGTATTGCAGCACTAACAATTGGAGCAGACGGATCAAGACGAGAGGTGGATGTCGATCGTGGGACCAGACACGCCACCTGTATTGTTTTAACACTCTCCACCAACCTGGACCTGGATAAATCGGAGATCAGCCTCAAGAGGAAGCAAGAATCCTGCGTATATAGGTAAGCGCTGAGCATAGTAAAGCGCGACCTAATTTTACGACAGCATTTCAGATATGTTCATGGTGCACACAAGAGTACTTGAAGCATGCCAAGGATGCCGCACACACACACATACTGCAATATGCTCAGCCAGACACAGACGTCGTGAGAGAAATGTTGACATGAAAACACCCGTACTTGACTTTAACAAACAGCACGAGATTCATCCTGGCAATATAAATGTTTGGATGACCACTAAGGCAGTATTGGGACTCTACAGATGCAGCTAAATAAAGTGGGATATCGTAGAAAAGTTCAATGTAAATGTCAAAATTTCCTATTCAAATTGAAACGCGTTTCAGTAGTTCAATTCCAAAACTGAAATCCATAAATATACTGTATATACTTGATAAGCGCATGGGGAAAATACTTTTTAGTAGGGCGATTCCTGCCTTATTGCTTTTAGATGAAAAATGTTTTCGATTGTTGTCTGATATTTCTATTTATTGAGATGGACAACTTGGGGCTTTCAGTGGCTTTAACCACCCAAATGATTGAAAAAAAATCAATCATTCATTATTTCAATCTGTGTGTAGTGAAGCTGTGTTTGACTTTTTCAGTTTTATATGAATAATTCATTGCCAGAATTCAAATGCTAAACTGAAATTTGGGAGTGTTTTTGCATTGCTACTTTATTGCAACCTTGGCAAAATACCGTCTGATTCATCAATCCCTGAACAATATCAACTATCCAACTAAAATAATAACCCGCACCGCCCTGAATGAAAAAGTCCCTCGATTATCGCCTCATGGACGTGGACATATCTGTCGTCAGATTTTGAATTTCTATTTCTGTTGAAGACGCGACACACCCTTTCACTGAACGCTAACTACGTTCGGTTCACCCAAAACGCAACCTTCCAGGATACACCGCCGGCATCTGGAAGCGTGCGTCAAAGAGAGAGCCTGTGTGGTTCTGTGTGATCTTTGCTAGCATGTCGCAGACGTACATTCCTTCAAAGTGCTGCCACAAATGGATACAGGTGTGACTCGAGTGTGTGAAAACTGTTTAGTGATGGCGGAAAGGAATGCCGGCCGTCGTGTTGCTCGGCATTGCGGCGCTAAATGTTCAACATCTAATCCATCCCAAACTTTCAGCGTTTTCAATCACCCGTCGTACGATTTTGCAAGATTTGCCTCCCGATTACACGGATTGCGCTGGGGATCGGGTTTAATTGCTCATTTCCTGAATGAGACTCCTGTTGAGCGTATTGGAAGCTAATCAAACCTTTGCTTTCTCTTTCAGTTCAAGTGAGCCACAGAGGTGTAAAACGGTGGGCATCGACTCTCAGGTGAGGATCAGTTATCAGGGCCGATGAAATGAGATTTGTAATTTTGCCTGTGAAAGAGACGAGGATAAATACTGCACAATTTAGTCCCATTTTAGTCTTTACAGTGACGCTCAGTACCTCAAATTAGGGCCTTTTAAAAGAACTTCAATAAATTGTAATTACAAAATGTTTTTCATTTCGGAGCATAACCTAACAAATGTAGCGTCATTGTATCATCACCGATTGAATAAGAAAGGGCAGGGTGCGTTACGTACTTCTAAATAACCAGTTTGTCCAGGCCTGAATATTTTAGTTTAGTCCACCTTGGGAACAGACACTGCGCACTTGCACCGCGCTATAGTCGCTAAAAGAAAAACAATTGCGGCTGGTTATTGTCGCCTGTCTGACACATTTGTCACAGAGCTCTTCTGTGTCGAACAGAGGGCGCAGTTTTCTATGTGTTGCATTTCAATTTTATGTGTGTAATTGTGCCGGAGGTCTCGACGAGAAAATTGTACTCTTCTGTGTCGAACAGAGGGCGCAGTTTTCTATGGGTTACATTTCAATTTTATGTGTGTAATTGTGCCTGAGGTCTCGACGAGAAAATCGTGTTAATCCATTGCCTGCCCGTTCAAAGTTTAATTCCATCTGACCTTCACGTTGACCTTTACATCGGTACCTGATGTCAACTACTTGTACAGTATCATCACCAAATGTATCAACAACCATGCATTTTTTAAATAGTGTGGTGTTTCGTAACGGAAACGCAAATAATTTTTTTGAGAGAACAACCTTTGGTTACCAATGAGTAATTCGTGTTTTCACAGGTGAAAAAACCAACTTCGCGACCCGACACTTCCAGAGAAGTAACAAGCGAGTCTCCGTTACCGCAAAAGATAACATTTCTGGCTGAGAAAGACGAAGACATTATCACGGTTGTGTGCAGCGGTCGTAAGTTCAGAAGTAGTCTTCAATGTGGATTGCAACCAAGAACAACTGCCTGTGGATCATCTGAATTGGAGCAAACGATTAAGGGCCGGGCCGATCTTGAGAAACAAACTGATGTGGAGGCGCTGTCTAACCCCAGTGAAGTCATGTTGTCTTCTGCTATGGTGACAGTTCTCGCCCCTACTTGGAGCGGCCGACTGCGGCGCTCCAAAAGGTTCGAGGCAACGGGCAGTTTGGAAACTTTGGCAAGTCTTCCAGATGTGGCGAGCTCAGAGGCAAGTCGTCCGCAAGATGACTCTCAGCGGTCTCAAAGTGGTGCGGCGAGGGCGTTTAACGTAACGCAAACCCAGCCAAGAACTCCGTTTCTGAGTACCAGGCAGAACACAACAGGCTGGTCCACCAAAAGTGTTCCCCAAAACTTGGACTATGAATTGCAGAGTAACGTTGCTCGAACAATCTCGTTGGATGGGAGCTCTAAAGAGAGAGAAATCAAGAAAGCGCAGGCAAGTACTAACTGGGACCTCTATGGGCAAAAGAGGACTCCACAAGACGGTCATCCGGTGCGGCGCTCATCTTTGAGCTCAAAACCAACAACAAGCAGTCTCCTTCTGTCACTACGAAGAATAAACAGTCAAAGCATGAACTCGAATAACCCGACTCCGTCTGAGGTCAAGCCACTGTCCTTGAAGAGTGGCCAAGATGCTCAACTGTTCTCCACACAAAGCTTCCGCAACACACTTGAGAGGGAAAAGTTTAAGCCGCTCCCCTCGTCTTTGTCCGTTTCTTCCAGGGCATCCGAGACGGAACCAGTTAGTTCCTCCTCATTGAATAATCACAGAGGCACATCGAAAACAAGCTTGTTTTCCTCTTTGACCATAAACAAAGTATCAACTGACACACCCGAACAACCACAACCGATGACTCGGGCACAGCCAAGTCTTTCATGCTCCAGACAAACATTTGTCAGTCGAAGAACGTCGGACAACGATCAGAATTGGATGGGTTCAGACAGAGGTTCGAATCTCTTTTTTGACAGTGATGCATCTTCACCACAACGTATACAACACGACTCCGGTGTGCTCTCAGAAAGCGGCGCACCTTCCAGAAACACACCTGGGTCATCCACTTCCCGGTGGCAACAAAATAGCCAGAAGGGCAGTCCAATTTCAATTCTCTCCGACACACCCAACATCATAAGCAAGCCACCCACACCCTTAATTCCTCTACTGAACAATAACTGTGACACACCAGCTCTAAGTCTGACGAATAACAAAAGTCTTAAGCTCCAACGTCAAAGCTCCAATCGTAGCAGCGATAGAGCTATGGCGGAGCCACTTTGCAATGATAGCACCAATCCTGTGATGAAGCCACAAAAAGGAGGGCCCGCTCGAGTCAAAGAGAAGCACTCTGATGATTCATTTGACAAAGTAAAACTTGCCAAACAACTGCATGAATCCAGTTCAAAAAAAGTAGAACTGCGCAAGTCTCAACGTTTGCCTGACAGGCACTCTACCCTCAGTCAACCAAGAGATTCCATTAGGCATGATGCAAGTAATGGCTCATTTCAAGCTCACGTGACTGCATTTGCGCCCTCTTTGTTCAATCCAAATAGAACTGCGCCTCCTAAGATCGACGACAGAACAAATAACACTCTCCAAAGCAAGCCAATGAAGCAGTGTTTATTTCTTGAGAGCACCGACACGCTCAAGATTCAGGTTGTTCCTCTTAAGAACGTCTGTGGTTTCTCACAGAAAGAAAATGCCGGTCCTCCGCTTCATTCCAAACCAGATTCTTTTCCGACCGGCTCGACATGCCAAACATCAAAAGTCCCCAATACAGCCCCCATCACCACCACGCCTCTTGGCTTTAGAAGGAGCTATGCCACCACTACAAAGCCTTTGCAACCAAAAGATGTCTCCCACCAGGTTCCGATGGTAAATGACTCTTCCAAAACAAACCGTAGCCCTGCATCGATGACTCCTTCCCCAGCCGCAACGACGACTCCCACCCAGATGACTTGTACCAGTATTCCTGCCATAACATCACATCCACAAACAACACCTCCTGCCACCACAATCAGTCCAAACCGAAAAGTGGGAGGAATATTAACGAACCAATCCGAAAAAGACCACAAAAAATCCGCCCAAGGATATGGAAAGAGAGTGAAGCATGTCATGTGGGAGGATTCAGAGAAGTCTGAACCCACGAAGAGTCCCGATCCATCTGTCCTGACGAGTCCACTATCTCGCTCGATGTCTCAGCGACTCAGCAGAGCCCCATCCATCTTCTCTTTTCTAAGATTAAGCAGTCCAAACCCAAAAAACACTCCCCTTTGCACCGCGTCATGCAAGACCTCGAGCTTGCAGGTGGGGGAAGGAGAGAAGTATCGATCTTTGTCTTCTGACTCTGTGGATCAGACCTTGAGAGAGGTAGTAGAATCGCAACAAAAGCCCAGCGATGCAATGAGTTTTGTCCAAGAGAGAAGAGCCGCAGCTCCATGCAGACTGCGGAGGTCACGGTCATTGCAGGCCGATGAATTCCTGTATTATTCAACTGCTCCCTCGCCCGACTTTGCAAATGGATACAAGATACGCTACAGCCCGCCACCCTACTCCTCTCTCATCTCCAGCCGTAGTGAAACTAAGAAGGCAACTCCGAGGACATCACTTTTCCAAAATGTTAACTCCACCTCAAATTATATCTCAAATCATCCCTTACTTTCTCATCCAGTTGCAGATGCAATCTCACCGAACTCAAAAACATCACTCGTAAATTCTCCCAAACCTCTCCTGTCTTCTCCTCTGCAGACCAAAATGTTATCAGGTGAACATGTCTTGCATGGTGTTTCGCAAAAAGGTGAAATAAACAATAACAGCTACAAGCGTATATGTCGTAATCAGAAAAATGGTGGCATATTACTTATCGAGAGCAGAGTTGATGAAATCCCACAAACTTTGCAGAGTTCAAAAATGGACAAAACCGCTTCGCCTCCAGAGAACACAAAGCCTGAATCATTGCCATTTTTTACAAAGATGCTCTCTTCTGTGGCGGCAAAGCCAAGTGAAGAGACACACAGAACTCCGAGTCATTTAAATCAAAGCTCAAGTGGCAGCAGCTCAACAGAGAGTCGGTCTGTGGGTGACGAAGTCAGCAGCAAAAGAATGAAGGAGAGCGTGATGGGTAAATTCAAACTTTTCTCAGTGGAGAGCAACAACGAGCAAAGCCCAAAGAGGCGTCGTTTTGTTATGAAGAAAAGTGTCAGCATGCCAAACTCTGAAAACGAGAAGGCCAACAAAACTTCGAATAAAATGGACCAGGTTCTTAACAAACTAAGGCAAACATTCGGCACCAAACGCCCCGATGACGAACTATTGCCGTGGAAATGGAGGCAAGCGTCTGAAACGGCGTCTGTCGGCGGGCTGAGCGATACCGGCAATACCAGCGATGCCACGGTTGAGAGCAACAGAACCGCTGAGCGTGAAGAACAAGCGGCCGAGCCGAAGGGCCATGGAAGGGCAAAACAAGGTGAAGAATTGGCACAGACCAGTTCCTCCCTCATACCAACCTTATCCATGACAGGCAACGAGTCCTTCATTTGGCCAGACCAGCCCAAACCCAAAGACCAAGACAAACAAAGTTTTTGTCCAATAACACCATCTGACCAGAATGATGCTAAGACTAGACCAACAAACCAGTTTCTTCTCAGTGTGGATCCTGGTTCCAGTAGAAGCCCGAAGCTCAGCGGCGGTCACTCTACTAAGTTAAGGAAATCGACATCCAGTTCCAAGAGTCCATTCTCCCCCTTCTCCTCTCTTTCCCCCCACTCGCCATTTTCCTCAACCGATGTGGCAGATGACAGTGTCTTCTACAGCCCAAAGATGCAGCGCCGAAGGGAGACTTCATTGCCATGTGAGCCGGGGGAGGGAATCAGTCTGGGGAGTTCACGGAGAAGCCGGGCCTCCACGGGTCCGCCAAGTACAGGTCCGGTACAGGGCGAGGCATCATGCTATGCTGATTTAAAGTACGGCATTGAGCCAGGGAGGTCCGTTTCTGTGAGCTCTGTACTCTCCAGTCGGCCTTCGGGGCCCGGGCGAATCTCCACTGGCCCCAGATTCATGAGCGTGGACGACCTCTCGGAATCCGTCCCAATTCATGGAAGAGGTGATGAGGATTTCAAGGAGTGGTTAGAGAGGAATTGCAATCACAGATCAATTAGTCGGATGCGGTCCTACTTCCCCGGTGACGCCGAACAAATGAGATCAAGATCTCTTCCTCGATCGCTGACTCGCCGTCTGGCCCAGCGGAGCTCAAGTGTTTCTGTTTGTCCACCTGCAGACACCACGGCGTCAATGTCGCCCCATCGCTGGAGCCCCAACATGAACACTTGTCACTTTGACTGGGACAGAGTGAGCCCCCCAACTCCTCCTCCAACACCCCCTTTGTCACCACAGACCAGACGTATGTCGAAACCCTCCAGCCTTTCCTCGCCTAATTTTCCCAGCCCCAATGCAGAACCATTGGAAAGCCAGTCCCCCAGGGGGCATTTGCCCTCTCGGGGTTACGTCTCCAGCCTAAGCACATTTGAAGAGTCCTCGGACAGCAGCTCAGACACCACGACAGATGATGAATATTATTTAGAAAAAAGTGACGATGAAGAAAAGGAGACTGAATTGTGAAAGCAGTCACAATTCAATTGCTACTTTCTCTTCGATGTTCATGATCCAGAACTTGATATTGCAAAAAAAAAAAAAAATAATAATAATAATAATAATAATAATAATAAGACGGGCGAGATAGCAACAGGAAGTGCAAAAGAAAGATCCGAATGTGGCCTGACAGTCGAGGCAAGTGACTTGAAGTGGCTCATCTTCATTGTCTGCCTGAATACAAGTAAGTGTGTTGTCATGTCATTGAGTGGGCAAGCGTGCTACAGGCCTCTATTTACAGTGAAACCTGTATTTGCGATGGGTACGTTCCAGACCCAGCCCCCCTTGGTGATATTACAACAGAAAGTTTGTTGTTGTTCTTCTTCTACTACATCTATTACTACTGCATCTTATTGGTGCCCGGCATGTTGTGGCACAATCTGGTACTTACACAGATGGCTCGCAACTCTAAATTTAGACTTGCCAGTCCACTGTACATAAACAAGTAAACAAAAACGGTCACTTCAAAATCAGAAATTTAGCAGGGGCACAATCAGTGAAGCTAAACGTTGTGGGGGTACACCGTAAAGTGATGTATGTATGTGCGGACAATTATGCTTTGCAAATTTCTGCTAAATAATGGATGCTTAGCACTCGTTTTGGACAGTTGCATGGCTTCAGTGCGGGATTTACAGCTGTGGACTTGTTTGATGTTTGATATAAAGAATTCATTTTATTCCACTGAGATTCGTGGTTGTCCGTCCGATTCTTGAGAACGGAATATAGTTTGAGCTATTCATATTTTGTGTGTTTATAGCAGTACTCCAGATCTAAACAATGGTATCTCTCCTTGTTGAACTATTTTTATTATTATTATTATTATATATATTTTTTTAAGTCACATCGTGAATGGTGGTAGAGCCACTACACTGTATTATGCTTTTATGCACTTGTTGCTTGAATGCATCAGGGTCATCTAGACCCATACTGTTTCTTCTGCTGCTAAGCAATAACTCCACTAGTGAAGGAGGATTATCGTAATTTAAAAGAAAATAATAAAAAAAATCGTGTTCTTGAATTTGATGTTAATGTTTTAAATTATGTTTATTTTTTTAACCACATTTTTTTAGTTGGTAAAGGAATCATACTGCCATTGTAATTTTAGCATTTGTTGTCAAAGTGCTTTATATGGTGCCCGATATTGTTTGTCCAGACTAAATATTTGCACATTGACAATTCAACATCCAAATATATGCATTTTATAAATAAATGCATTGTTTCCAACAAGCTCTTTCTTGGAATCGAATACGTCATTTTGTCAAATACTGTCTTCAGTGTGTCATCATTACAGTGCAACAGTCATTCCATCGGGGGGTCTGTTTTGCAGTAAAAACACAGCCTGCTATGGTGATAGCTGGGCAAACAGGTGTTTTATATATATATATATATATATATATATATATATATATATATATATATTCCATCATAAAATCATCTCTGGTCTCGAAATGTATGTTCGCTGTTGATGCATTGTGCACCATTGACTTTCTGTCTCATGGTTTTTGGACCAAATAGTTGTTGCCCTAGAGACAACAGACCTGACATCATGCAGGCGTGGCCGCTTCATTGGGCACGGCGTTTATTTGGAAGAACCTTTTTACATGATGTCATCGTTTGGAAAGTACAGCATTGGTCACAAAGCGGGACTTTAACTTTGGCTTCGCGCAGAGTGGTTAATGCCTGCAACTGGTTCTTGAAGTGCTGGAAATTGAATGTGCGCAGTTTAGTACCGGACCAAAATGGTCATATTTAGTAAGTCAAATTCAAATTCTATAATTTTCTATTTTCCATGACCAAAACAAGTAGGCCACTCTGGGGGCGAAAAAGATCTTCTCTGCAAAAGCAACACATGCAAATGTCAACAGTATTGGCTTTCACACAACAAAAAACTTTCACGGGGAGGTGCCGCAATTAACATTCGGTACATTTGATCTTCCCTGGCAGTCAGGCATGAGAAAGATTGATTTTGCCTGAAAATATTCTGTTTGTCCTTTCTTTGGAAAAGCCAGTAATTTTCTGGTTGCTCTAATTTTACATTTCACGAGCAAAAATTGATTTGTCAAGCTCTGAAAACCGTTTTGGGCATTTATTCAATATCCTTGGTAGCCAGTTTAAGGTCCATGCACTAGGGGGATTCCCCCAGCTGCAGCACCTTCTCAAGGTTTCTCATTTTTCCCCCAATGTTTTTTTTTTTTTGTTTGTTTTTCCTCTTGGGCGTTAAGGTCACTGGATGTTGTGAATTCATGTGAAGCCCTTTGAGACTGTTTGTGATTAAGGGCTCTAGAAATAAATGTGACTTGACTTCACCTCACCAATAAGGCAATTCATAGCACTACTGTAATCTCGGTATCCTACGAGGAACCTTTTTTCCACCCTGTTAACGTTCACCGCCTTCCACACCTTTGTGTTAGAAATGTCACTCTCGCCTTGCAGCCATTGTTTCATGAACAGGGTGGAACATTCCGGCCCTTGTTGTGATTTATCCTTCTCCCGTGTCTTACACTCATCACACGTTTTGTTTTTCTTGTTTAAGAAAATGATTTGTCTTAATCTTCGTGTGCCTTTCTTGACACGTTGGTGTGAATCCTGTGCCTAAACATGTTGGTAAATGGCATGGGATTATAGGCGAGTTGTGTCTCTGTTGCCAAGTTGTTTTTGCTGCATGTGTTTCCTTTGTGAGTTCAGCACCTGCTTGGTTGGTGGACGAGCACACTCCCAGCAGTTGAATAAGCACGACATGACTGGAATAATGTGCACTCCTTGATTCCAATTCCTTCACATGCAGGGTTATGTTAACAACGTGCACATTAAGTACAACCTCTAACTGCTTTTAATGCTTTTGATGCGTTTCATCTTTCCTTGGGTAGTGATTGGTTGTCCGCTTCAGACGAGCTCACGTTTCACAGTGCAAGAGAGGGAGAGGGAGAGAGAGAGATTCCTGAACAGATTCGAGCAGGCGTGTCAAACTCATTTTTGTCTGGGGTTGCATTGTAGTTATGGTTTCCTTCGGAGGTCCATTATGAGTACGAAACCAAATCAAATGTAGCATCGCCTCATATTACGTACACACAACAAAACTGGAGAATGACAATTTTGAATTCAGGCAGTAGGAAAACCCTTTCAAATATTACATTTACTTTACAGAGGGAGTGGGAACAAAAATGCTTGAAATATCTCCAAATTTTTACAAGACAACTTGCAATTTCGGTATTTTTGCAAAAAAACATGAAGTCGATTCGCAAATTTTGCTTTCGCGAGCCACGTAAAATTATATGGCGGGCCAGACCTGGCCCACGGGCCTTGAGTTTGACACCAGTGGATTAATGGGTTAATGCGAGCGCTCACACTGTGATAAGGCTTCTGCATTTTGCCTGATTTTAAATTACGCCCGATAAAAAGCCTAACGCAAATGGACAGTCAGTTTATAGTTAAAAAAAAAATTGGGTGGGTTCAAAGGTGGCAATAATTGGGACCATTACAAAATAATGAATGTAAATAGCGTATGTGTAGCTTAGACACAGCTCGAATGCAGGTTGAGTAAGTTCTTGCCCATTCCGACAACAAACCACATGCAAACAAATGCCAATTCCTGTGTAACTTACATAAGTGATCTGTTTGGTCAAAGTCCAACAAGAGACGCACAATGTTGACATAACCAGTTTTATTGGACGTGAAATCAGGTTACAGAGTTAACTGGGTCAGCATTGAACAATCAGTGTTTGTAGACACAGTATTATCAGAGTCAAGGTAATTCAACGGAGGGAGTATTAAAATGTGAAGAAACAGCCAAAAAAAAAAAAATCTTGAATCAGGTAGGCCCAGCTCCTTCTGTGCACAATTGAGGCACGTGAGCCCAACAGCATACACATTGACTGCAGTCACTACATTCAATATGAGCAAGAAAACAGTCAAGAGGAGGAATAACACGGAGCCCGCAGGGCCCTTCTTTAGCTACTGCGGAGCTTTGTCATAGGGCCTTTTCGACTGCATCGAGACATTCACCTTCTTTTAGTCACGGTGTGAACTTCTACTCCACTTTTATTCGTACACGTCCATGCTGAGACTTTGCGTCTAAAGAGGTACCGTAAGCTTCTGAGGAACAAAAGCGTTAAAAAAAAAAACGAAAAAAAGGCTTTCAAAGTGCTTCCACGCATGCAGATAGGAATGTTGCGACATATTTTGACTCCATGCCTCAACCATAACTTATAACGTATCAACAGAAAACGTACTGCTCACACTATTTTGGGTAATAACATTTTACGTAAATTCCAAATACTCCGGCTCCGGGCCAGATTGACACTTTTAATTTGATTCCTAATACTGACTGCGCGGTGTGTAGCTAGGCAACTGTCCTTGAACTTTTGAAGGCGTTGTATCAAAGTGCTCGATGCTCCACCTTCTCCTCTGCATAGCGAACGGAAGTGCACATTTTCCAGACACACTTGAAAAGAAAAAAAACCCTACATTTCAAGAAAAGTATTTACAACAAACAAACACCTTACAGTGTAACAGGATACATCTGAGAACTGTGTTCTACGTCAGAAGGTGGAGGTGTCGGAGAACAAGTGTTGGACGACAACAACAGAACATGACCCATGCCGGGGGGCTGCAGGGTTGCGCTTGCTGGGGTGCAGCCTCGCGAGGGCTGTGTGTGTGAGACGGATGATAAGACCGAGTTCCTCGTGCGTTTCAATGGAGGTAAATGGCTGGAGGAAGCCGAACCACGAAGAGGCTCATATTAGGAAGATTTCAATGTGCGGATCATCACCGTGAGTTCAAAATCTTGACAGCCCTTTTCTCGCTCTACTCTCCTTCCTCCATCTACATAAATGGATGTTCCAGTGGAATTGCACACAGCCCCTCCTAGTCCTCCAGGCTTGTTTAAGTCTCCGGGTTGGGCGTGGCCAGCAGTGGCACGTTGTCCCGCCTCCTCCTGCCAAGCGGTGGACGCCTGTACTGCTCCCCGTCGGCCAGAGTCTGCGGCAGCGGCTTCCTCTTGCTCTCAGGCAGCAGCAGAATAGACAACACGGCCAGCAGGGCCAGAGAGGAATAGACCACGTGGTGCAGGAAGTAGCCGTAGTGGTTCCTCAGGTCCATGAGTGGCGAGCTGAGACGCCCCACGCAGCCCAAGGCCAGCACGGCACCCACGCCCGTCCCTCTGTGGACACACGCCCTCAGCGTTTAATTGAAAGGCTTGCTTCCCAACGCCACAAAATGTATAAACATTGAGCTCAAACATATTAGCGGTTCAACATTTACAAATTCAACTGTGACGTGTTTTTTTTTTTTTTTTATCCCTGACTCACAAACTGCATTTGCTGTTTGTGCTCAGGTCAAAGCGATACAAGTTTTACTTTGGCGCCATCTTATGGCATCTTGCTGCCAAAAAGCTATGTTGGAGGGTGTTGTGTGTGTTCCTTTCGACAAAAGTAGTGTTTTGAAGCCATCTTGTAGAGTCACTTTCTGCCAAGGAGCTACAGAACTGTTTGTTCAAGTGAGATGAGGAGCTTCAGTTCGACAAAAGCGGTGCTCTGCAGCAATTTTATAGCATCTTGTTGCCTGGGAACTCCTGTACTATAGAATGAAGCAAATTCAGGTGTTTAATTTCGACAAAAGTAGTGCTTTGCCACCATTTTGCGGCATCTAAAGGCACTGTGGAGAATCGGGGAGCATCAATTACTTGCGTATTTACACTATGTTTGTGGCAGCGCTCAGTCCCTGGGCCCCCCAAGTAGAGCAGAGACTAAAGTCACGATGATCTCGTCTCAATTTACTTGCAAATTTGGAAACACAAAGCTATTTTCTTGTATTCGGAGCAACATGTGGCTACAATGGCTAACGATACCTCCTGCTACCTAGTGGAAGAGGAAAAAAATGATTTGTCCCTCCCTCCATGTCACTGGCCCAACGATATGAACAAAAAATACATCATCTGCAGTCAATGAATAATCATCAAGTGCCTTCCTACCTGATGACAGTGGGCATGATCTCTGCAGTGAAGAGAACGCAAAGGGAGGCAGTAGCCTGCGAGGAGAAGAGGCCCATGACGGAGAAAACGGTGATGGCATTCTCACTGAGATCTGAAGGAGGAAAGGCAACATGTCATTTACGCTTCACTATCAGGCCTTTGAATGACATTCATCCATTTTGTGTAGCGCTTGTCCAAATCGGGTTTTTGTCGTCCTTCTACATGATGCTTGAACAGTCAAGCCGCAGTACATTGATCAATTGACAGAGAACTGTCAGTGCTAACGTAACAGTAATGGTGTGGTATCACCAAATCTCTTCCTGGAAAGAAAAAAAAAAGGCATATGCCAGGAAGAAGGAACACAAAGTGCTCGGCGTCTTCCTCTGAACGTGCCTTCATTGTTGACGCGATTGCGATGATATCATACGAGTAACGTCAGCGGCATTCTCGTCGCGCTGACATTTCCCACAGTGTGAACACAGGTTCAATCAGGTTTGAACCTTCCAAATGTGAGTGCGGCGACCTGACCTGAACTTGTACCGTGTGATCATTTGGCTTTATTCATGCGCTATAACTTTTTTTCGCCACGTGAGGGAGATCCTGCATGATAGTAGCACTGGCGGAAAACTAAAAGGAAGCTGCAATCACTTTTTCAAGTTTTTAAACAACTCTCTTCTCTGTGGCTTGTCACGTCACATTGAGAAGAGAATTTTATTGGAACTTTAAGGGGACTTAAAACCCATTACAGTGATGAACCCCATGCAGAGGAGAGAGACTAAGCCCTTCTGTGAACATTGGAATGTCAATAGGACCGTATTTCCACGACCATTGGCTGAATTTTCTCCAAAACGGACGGGGCGGCCAAAAATTGCGGGCCACTAATCTATGAACCGAGTTCCAAAATCCGCAAAGATGGGAATTTGCGAAGGCCTACCTGCCCTTCAGATGGGCTTTGCTGAACTCAAAGAAAATGATGTCGCTTACACTTCATGAGTCCCAAGAGGATCAAGGAGGCCAGGCCCGTCATCGTCATGGAGAGCAGAAGGATGCCGCGGCGACCGCACCTGTCGACGGTTGCCCACAGCAACACCCAGGCGCCGCCGCCCGCGCACACAGACAGAAGATAGGTCCAATAGAAGCTGGGAGCCGTGCCTCGCACATCACCTCGGAAAGAGCTGTAGCAGTGGCTGATGCCGTGAGAGATGAATCTAAAGGCAGCATGGAGACAAACGCGCGCATGGAGATGGTGATGATTTAGCAAGCGAAACCGGGATGAATATGCCCTTGTGGGTGACTCACGAGGTGAAGCCGAGCACACAAATGTTCTTCCAGATGTTCCTACTGTGGAAGAGCTCAGGGAAAGACAGGCGGGGACGCGAGGAGGGCGCCGGTTCCGAATCGAGCTCTGGGGCAGACGAACAGAAAAGAGCAGGGATCCTCGTGAATATGGCAACAGCGAATCGATAACAAAAGTGCTATTCCACAAATCAGCGTGACACGCACCTGTGAAGCTCTCATCATCCCTCACATCTCTGTTTGAATTTCTCCTCTCGCTGAAGGAGTTCATGTCTCCATGTCTTTCAGAAAGCAGGAGCCAGCGAGGAGATTCTGGAAAAACTCCAGGAATGCTGCAGGCAAAGTGACACGGAAATACAGCTGACCTTTACCCAGCATCATACGATTAGAGCATTTGTGATTTGGGCCTTTTGAGTGTTGAAAACAACCACCACCTCCAATAAACGCACACACACACACACACACACACACACACACACACACACACACACACACACACACACACACACACGGATTCAAACCCACGACTTTTTTGCCTGTGTCAGCCAATTTCAGAAGAACGTGAATGCTGGATGATCATTTGTAGGATTCACCACGGGAGGTTCTCAAGCTCCTTCCTTGCTGCTTGCAGCGTTAATCGTCATTGATTGAATAATTGATCTCACGTCTGTTGTGCATACTCTGTACATGCCAAAATACAAATGAGGTCTAAATGTGAAGAATGTGAACTCTCTCATACCCATAGCTAAGGAAGAGGGTGAGCGGAGCGGCACCGGCTCCCAGCAAGCCTCTCCAGGACTGACAGCCAAGGGCCACCGCCAGCAGCAGCAGTTCCCCGGAAACAGTCATCAGCCCCGCCAGTACGGTCGCGATCAGCCTCAATGAAGGCTCACACAACTCCAGGCCTGAGAGAGCAACCAAACACAATCACCTCAACGTGAAAATGTCGAATCGTATCACGTATTTGCTTGTGAAAAACTTACGAGAGATGTAGAGTGTGAGGTAGACGCCGGCGCTCGCAGCCGCCAGACAGAAGCGCATGACGATGAAGATGGAAGGGTACGGGGAGACGCACACCAAAACGCCAAACACCACTGACAGAGTGAGTGACGTCAGTAAAGCCTTGGAGCGGCCGATTCTGTGAAGCAAACCAACAGGCGGTGGTTGGGTGGTGGCTGTTGTTTTTTTTGTGCCTGTGTGTGTGTGTGTTTGTGCACCTGTCAGCAGCAAAACCGAGGCCAAGGCAACCAGTCAGAGCCCCCAGGATGAAGCAGACCTCCTCCACAGGTACGAGCCAATAGCGATCACACACCAGATCCCACTGCACAGAGACAGGGGGAATTAAATGTCTTCCTGTGTGCTATTCAGCTTTCAAGTTTTGGCAAAGACTAACAACTCGGTTGAATTGAATCTAAGGGAGACTAACTGTTTTCAAAGCCGCATTGGTGTCCGTGGTAGGTTCTGACAACGGGTTGGACAAATCTTTTTCTCTTTTGCAGAAATGTGACCGAAAAAGCGTAGCAAAACGTCATCTCTGAGGCGGGAGGTCGTAAAAACACGACTTTTAATCACATTTAGGCAAGCCGCGGATTGTCATTAACAGCTGAGCTGCTCGTGTTGCAGTCTGCCGAACGCTGAAAGCCAAAATGATTTTCAGTGATCTAGAGAGAGCAACAAACAGCGGGAAAATACGGGTGCAGATTAAAAGCCTTTGCCTAATTGGAGCCTGAGTGCAGAAACATAAAAGCGTGTCAAATAATCTCAGCCGTCCTGTTGCTCATTCACAGACTCGCAGCGAGGCACGTTAGGCCACGGTGGGGACACTGGGAAATGCTCAGCAACGAGGTAATAAACTCCCCAGACCAGTTTTGTGACCGACGCTCAGGCAGAGGACGAATGCCTGAGTCCTGCTGAGCAATGCAATGCGTTGCGGCACCTCAGGAATCGCTGGAGCACTTCTGCGTAAGTGAAATCCATTTGGAAACATATTCCTGCTACAGCAACCGCTTAGTTTGCGCTTTCTCAGCTGGCAGTGCGGGCACGCAACCAACCAAGCCAGTGTCGAACCAGTGCGCACGCGTCCCGCTTGAGCGGGCGCATATGTGAAAACACACGCACAAAGGCCAGGGAGAGAAAGCAGCTCGAATGTGGAGCTGCAGCAGGCCAAACAAAATTAAAAGGCGCTGAACTTTAATGAGCGGAAGCCAAAAGGCCGGCGGCAAAATCCCAAAATACTTTGAAGAGAACGCCTGACCATTATTGCGTACAGTCTAGCATTCACCAGTTTGCATAATTGTTTTGTATCACTATTACTGCAGTATTGCACAATTATATTCTGCTTGTATTTGTGCACAGCACACATGCTGTTTTTACCATCCTGTACTTGCATGTAGTTGCATGTCCAGTACTGTATATGCATGCTTAATGAGAAACGGCAAGCTAGGCACAGACCTTTTGAATGATCTAAGTGAATACCTTGACCTTTTCTTTTGACACCAATGCCTTTTTAAAGAGCCAAAGTTGGATGGCCTCCAGATGTCCCTGACTGGTCACATTCAGGAGGGACGGATGAATGGAGGGGACAACTCTGACATTAAGCACTGTGTGGGCCACAGCTGTCATAGACACTGATGAAGGAAGGTCCAGACAAAACGTCTGGCTCGAGGATTTCATTTTCGGTCTGCCTGACCAGTGAAGCAAAAAAAAAAAAAAAAACGAAAGAGGAGAAGGAGGCCGAGTGTGTAAGAGAAACCTCCGACAGCAGGATTAACCTGTGATAGTGATCAAATATTTAAAACGCTTGTGCATGTCGGCGTCACGCACCAATCAAATCTCTGACCGTTTCACCTTGAAAGGCGACATCATGGAAAAATACAGCATTGATGGATGATGTCAAACTCTCAGAGGCCTTTTTATCCATCTCGACATGACTGCACATTATGGGCAGCTGCTATTTAATCGGGCAATACAGGTTTGTCTCGTCAGCAAGAAAAATAAAAACATACAATTCCCTTGAGAAGCATGTGGCGCTTCAATCAGCGTGCTCGGGAGTTCTCCCGTTCGGAGCTTTACCTCAGTTACGATGTTGTTCCTCAGCCCTTCGGTGATGTTGTAGTCCCAGCCGGCCTGGCAATCCACCACCTCCGATTGGCTCCCGTTGGCGTACTGCTTACACTGGGAAAGATCTCCGCTGTCACCCGGCCTCAGGCCCTTCTCCCAGGGCAGGGAGACGTTCAGCACCTCGGGCGACGGTGCCGGCCCCGGCAGGTGGCAGTGGTGCGGCGAGGACAGGGTGATGAGGGGGTCGGAGGAAAGCAGGAAGGCCAGGAAGAGATTTGGCAGGATGGACAAAACGATCAGGACCCTTTGCTTCTTCCGCCCCAGGGCCAGGACCATCACCTCCCCCGTGGGAGGCAGCGAGGGTGGTACTGGGAGGGAGGAGGAGGACGGGGCGGGGGAGGATGGCACGGGAGACGTGGGGAGAGACGGAGGAGGAGCGGGACATGGGGAAGGGGACACAAGAGTGGGGGACTCGGGCGATGTCATGATGGAGGGATCGGCTGTGGGGGTGCTTGAGGCGGAGATGGAACAAGGACCTATGAGAGCAAGAATTATACACGTTTCAATTTACTAGTTTAATATACCTGTGTGATTACGTCAGATTAACATCATCACAAGCTCCCTCCAAGTCACACTTAACTTGTGTGTGATTTTTCATGTAACAATGAGAACTTTTGAACGCCACAGCCTGGCGGTTTTTAGGCTTGCCCGAGACAAAGCATTGGCCGCGAATCCCTCTTGCAGCTGGGAACATCAAAAAATTCTCTCGAAAAAGGCCATATATCGTGTTTCTCCAAATCTGTTCCATGCTGCTGCTGTACCTGGTTTTTTTTTTTCCCCACCTTATAGGACCCCAAAAACGAAATCAACATCTCAACAACGATTGACTTCGCTCTATTTTTAGGTGTTTTTTACATCATGTAATCATGGATGTTTAAAAAAAAAGTCTATTATAACAAAGGAGTAAACTACAGATATTTGTTTCTCTCTCAAATGTAGGGAGCACAAGGAAAAAATATTCAGTTAAATAAATCCAGACACCTGAAGAATCTACTTAAGTACATCAACTTTAAGCCCCTATCCCACCCTCAGTGGGACAGACAGAGGCTTAAGTAATTGTACTTCGTTACTTGCCACCATTGCATGATAGCCTCCCTTGTTGATACACAAGCTTCTCGTTTGGGTGCAGCCAGTGTTTCCCTGCACAGGAAACCTTGCACACAGGAATCCCAGGGGGTTATATAAGAGGTTGTTGTTTTTTTTTTTTTCACGAGGGGTGGAAAACGTGAAGGGAATGTAAGCCAAAGGGGCAGGAAGTGCCCAGCTGTGAGACGCACACCTGCCCCAAACGCAACGCAACACAGCGGTCGTAGACAACAAGCACGGTGACTGCGTGATTGGAAAACACGCGATGACTTACCCTCTTTTGAGAATGGTGTTATTTCTGTGTGGCGTTGTCACTTCCAAACGTCCCGAACATTGCGGAGTGCGCGCGGCGCCTGCTCAGAGTACTTCCACGGCTGTCAACGCACATTCGCTTGTGTGCAGGTCTTCTTTGTGCGGTAGTCCCGTATAAAACGACATCACTCTCGGATAACAACGAAAGTAAGGGGAAAACACAAATATAGACGCTGATCCACAAAAGGACGCGGTAGTTGTGTTGTAGCTAACACTGGCAGCTGCTGTAATGGTGATGAAGCTCGTCGGGCGACACGCAGTCCGAGCGTGACGCTCCTCCTCTATTCCCTCGTTGTATTTTTATTTTTAAACGGTATAATTTTCCGATCGGGTTCGGTCTTCCGATGCGAAATAAGAAGACGGTCAGTAGCGAGGAATTGCCAAAGGCAACATTTGAGGCAAATGCATGTCGTCATCCAACCGGTCGTGGACAAAGAGCTTGTGGAGAACTGCATTGAGGGGAGGCTCGTGTGAGCCTCCGCCGGCGGTTCGCATTTCGGCAAACTTCGGCTGCAATCGGCAAAATGACGATGACGTCTGCTGTCTCGGCGCGACCAGACGTCGTCGTCTGTCGGATGCAGAGCAATCATTTCGTAAAGAATGACAGACAGACAGATACACATTGTCCTGAATTGATTTGTTTTTTGGCAAATAAACATTGTCACTGTCAGCAATGTGCACATTGTTCTTCAGTTTTAGCACCAGTTACATTAAGAAACTTTTTAACAAGAGGGAAAAGACTTTTTGAAGCAGCCAACCGATATTTACAAATTAGCATGTCATTTTATTTAGCATTTTATTTTAATGTGATTGACAGGACAAGAATCTGGTGGAGCAAATTCTTCCACAAACGGCAAATTCAAAGGCCATCATTGGAAAACTACTGTACGAACACAAGTTTGCCACATTGTGGCGCCACACAGTCAGTGACTTCTTCCAAGGGCCCTCTTCACTCTCCCGCAGAAGAGCTGAACTGTTTTTTGCAAGAATCCAATGACTTCTCTTTTCTGCATTAGATTTTATTTGCGCACATTTTCGCTACCGTTCTAAAGACTAAAGGTGCTGCATTTCCTTTTTTTTCCCCCTTACCATTCATCTGCATCCGAGGGGCAATATAGCAGTTACACTGAGGTAGAGCAATTTGCTTTGACATTTGTTTTGTTTTCTCACAGAAGCCTGGAGAGTTTGTGTTAACAGTGACTGGTTTTTGGAACTGCTCATTATTCCCTCCGCATAGACTCAGACTGCATTTGCATCTGAAGCACAGCAGCCATTCTTCATGATGCTGCCACCACCATGCTTCACTTGTGGGTGTTTGCACAACACATACCTTTTGGAATAAAGAACAAAAAAGTTATTTAAACCATTTATCTTGGTCTCATTTTTTTCATTTAAAAATGGGCTTATGAACAAGGGTGTGTAGACTTTTGACATTCATTGTCAATCCACATCTTAATGCAAAGAGAAGCTCGATAGTCAGTGATACAAAGTAATGAAGAAATACTTTGTTCATACTTTAGTAGCTTTTCAGGCATCTGTACTTAACTATTTATTTTTCCCAAGATATCTGTTCTTTCTAACCCTTTGTATATATAATACAGCTTTTATTTTTTTCAACCTTCGTGGTTGGCGCTATGATGCAATAAAGAAGTAAATCGAGAGAGATAAAATTAACCACAGTTTAGATCTTCATTGATTCATTGATGTATCGTGGTTTTAAGAGGTGAGAAACAAAACAGGCGAATATCTTTCATGTATATGATTCAAAGGATTCAAGAAAGGTTTTCCATTTGCCACCGATAGCAGTTTGTTGGCCCCCACTGTGATTTGATTCCAAAAATTGCGCCAGTGAACTTCGAAAATAACAACTGGACTATCAGAGATATGCTTAGCGGTGTTGTGGTGGTGGTTCATATATGCTGCTGCGTGTTGGGTAATTTGGTGAGGATTAGATGAAATTCAGTCTTTCCTCACTCTGTGGAGATGTCGCAGTCTACAGGACCACAGATTGCCCCACACGACACTGCGGGACATTTCAACAGACGCGCTCAGGTCAAACAAGAAGTCAGTCTTTGGTGCTCAATATGTGATCGCCACTGCGTAGTCTCACGTTTCACCACAGCAACGTGATCGATTGATTGATAGATCACAGAATCACAGAAGTGACAGTCTTAACAGAGTTGTGTGTTTTGCCGCAGTGAGCCATTTGAAGTCTAAAATATTGACCCATTTCGTTTATTCTTTCAAGATACATGTCCTGAGACAGGGGCACAAATACAAAGGACAGTGGACATGGCATTTAAAAAGGATTCAAAAGTGAGACGCTTAGCATAGGCGTTCCTTCAGTTTGCATTTTAAGATTGAGTCTTAAAATCTGACATTTACCCCAGACAGACGGACTGACGGATAGCCATGCATTAAGGATGGACCGAAAGTTAATTTGCCTTATCTTTTATCATCTTGATCTCTACTATCCGAAATGAACGTTGTCGTTTCAACCTTTCAACACCCCCCCCCCGCCCGCCCCCCTCCCTGATCTCTTTGCCCACGTCAGACTTTGAGGTTTAGAAAATGAGTCCAGAAATAACAATGGTCTTGGACAGATATATTTCTATAAAACGAGGGTGTCAGCGGCTTCCCCTAGCCCCCTCCTCTCTATCTCCTATCTCTGTGTCCCTTCACGACCATCACAGCCACAGGAAGGCCCTGGCAGCCCGAAACGCTGATACTATCTCTACGCTCCCTCATCTCCATTCTCCGCTGTGTCGAAATCTTACCCATCTCACAAAGGGAAACCGCTAGTGAACAACGGTCCGTGACATGACGTCCGTTTCTGTGGCTAGACGACTTATGGTAAATGATGTGGCAGGTGGATGCCATGTTCCCTGATGTAACATATAACACACGCTTAATGTACGCAATGACGGAGAATACATTCGCTTGCATCAGAACTTTATCCATGAGAAAGAAAAAATGTGGCCTTTCACTGCATGCTGGCTGATGTCAAATCTGCAAAAGCAATGTGCAAAAGCTAAACGTTTACAGCCAAATGCAAGGTTTCGGTCGACAGATAGACGCTGCTTTCAAACGTTCTTCTAAAATATTTTTGTTGTTGTTATCAGTGAGCATTTTGGAGTGCCAAAATATCGGTCTTTTTCCTTTTACTCGTTTTATATTGTATTCCAATTATCAAGTATGTTGCAGTTCAAACAATGTCAAATCTGCAACCATTTGCACGTACGTTTCTTTGATTTCTGTTGTAAATTTGACTCCTCAAAGCAGAAATTCACTCCAGCCTGCAATGTAACCACTGAGCTGAGGTCGCAGCAGCTCCAGCAAGCAGTGACTTTATCTACAATGCAGTATTTACAGGATCATAGATGCATGCATAAATATCTACTAAATGATAAATATACAGCGCATATGCTGCTTGAGTCAGCTGCATGCTCGTATAACAAATTAATTGCACTCTAAGTCTTTTAATCCTGAAGAAACAGGTCTTTTTTTCTGTTTCAGATTCTCATTAAATAGCCAAATCTGTTAAAATAAAAAGTGGTCCTTGACAAAAACAATTCTTTTGGTAACCATCTTTATTAGCGGTGTTACAAACATCACCACAGTTTCGGCATGATAATAAGAACTGTTTGGTTAAAATATCTCCCTGACAAACGTCAATTAAAATCGAGCGTCATCATCTTTGCTATCTTTGCAAAGGCAGAATTTTTAATCTGATACAGCTGCAGGTGTACCGAATGAAATATTTTTACAGACATCATCCACATTATAAAGAAGCAGATGCCATGGGGAAAGAAAACATCCATAATGAAGCTAAAATAACCAAATACGCAGCAATTTTACTAACTCCACATTTGCTTGTAAAGGATGAATATTGTATCTCTCGGGGCAATATCAGCCTCAAATGCATTTTACAAGTTCAGGAGAGTAATGCCAAAACAACAAATGACAACAACGCACAATGTCCTGGACAGGAATCAAACCGAACAAGCCAGAAGATGAGGTACAAATGCACAATTTAATATCCTCACTGGAAGATATGACAATGCTGAGCTTGATGTAACAGTTTGCAGTGGTGGAACTACACTGCGGCATACAAAGAAATGACTGGAATATTTTGCACTTCTCTCATAGCTGAACATGGTTGCCAAAATGTTAGAAACAGCTGATGATGCGATGCAGTGCCGTGTGCACTTCCCCCACAGTCATAAGCAGATTGCGCTGCCAGTCAAACTCAGCATTGGTATCTTTGTCAATGCGCGACTGCAATACCGTTTTTGTAGTGGTTCTCCTCGGTTTGTGCAGGTTTAAAACGCTTACCAGAATGATTAGACCACCGCTCGGCGTAAGGCTTATTGGCCACCATTGCCCTAAATTAACAGCATTGGTAATGAGCAAAGTTGTTTTTCGTGGGGTTTTTTTGTAATGGCGAATTCGACTGTATGTACAGTAGAAGCTCTTTGGGCTGAAAAATATCACATTGTCAAATAATGCGATGTCCATTCCTGAAATGGAAAGTGTCCACTGAAGCACTTGATGATGCTGGATGGGCTCTTCTCATTTTTATGACAGGGGGTCTAATCAGTGTGTTGAGCACTGTACCAAAGGAAGAGTCCAGTGAGGGTACGATATGACGGGCCGATTATTGTTCTGTAAGGCTTTGCTCAGACGGTGGGGACCCCTGCGGCCCCCTCTTCACTTCCCGGTAGGTGCTGCTGGGACAGGATATGTCTGAGAGTGTCCAGCTCCTGTGAGAGCTGCCCGATCTTCATTTGCAGCTTCTGGTTCTCCTCCTGCAGCTGCAGGGCCCTCTGCTGTGTCATCAGGATCCTCCTACGGGCCTTGTCTCGACTCTTCCGCACCGCGATGTTGTTCCTCTCGCGTCGCAGCCGGTACTCTGCGCTGTCCTTGCTGATGCTCCTCTTGGCCACCGGGGCACGCATGGTTGGCAAGATGAAAGGAGGAGAGAACTCCTGAGGATGAAAGTTGGGAAATTTTACACATCACATACTGTACAACCGGCACCCCGTCGCTTGTCTCTCACCTGCAAATTGCTGCCATGGTTGTGGTGGGGGTTCCCGGAACTTGTGGTGCTGCTGAGACAAGAGGACGTGTACGGCAGGTACGACAGTCCCATCATCTGCTCGTCCATTCTGTCCTCACTGCTGCCCCTCAATCCCTGAGACTGGCTGTATGTTATCATGTCCATTGAAACCAAATTGGATGACCCGGCAGGGCTTGAAGACGTTGGGTTGAGTGTCACATGGGCCTGATTCGGGTATGGATTCATCCACTCCTGGATGACAGAGGACACCCTGGATTCACACATCTGCTGGGTTTCAATGTCATAATGTCAATTATTTAAAAAAAACATCAAATGTTTGGATGCAGAAGAAAAAGAATGAACATGAAAAGAAACACTCTGTGTCTGCTTTATGCAATTATGTCCCGGAGTTGTAACCTCTGAAAACTAAATATGTTAGTGAAGCTTACAAGATGTATTGCATATTAACATCTTTCTTGATGAAAAAGGAAAAAAACAAATTAAACTGTGCAGTATATCGAATCGAACTGTCACAGCCCTGAACAAAAGTGCCATAGCAGTAAAAGATGCAAATAGGCTGAAAAACATATCATAACAACCACAAGAATTTTTTTTTTCAATTGAGATTTAATTTAGTGAAGAAACATGAAATACCATTGCGTAATTTCTGTAATTCCATTGGTCATAGGACTTTATTACTACCCCTTAATCGGGGAAAATGATTTTTCCCTTCAAAAAAAAAAGAAAAAGAAATGTAGGCTATTATTCCCAACACTACACTGTCCAGACAATTAAATGCAGCAATGACATGTAATGCAAGAGCTGTTTCAACAATTATTTCTCCTTTTCAACTGACACCATCAGAAATGCAATCAAGAATCAATTATATTAGTAGCCATTTGCAGTATTTTTAAACTTGACTTCAACCCACTGAGAACCGTTTCGACCATTCTCCCGCACTACGCTCACTAAATAAGGTCGATTTTTGCTGTTACGCATTCAATAGCTGTATGCTGCTGCATGTTTTTTTTTGTTGAAATATTAAGTGCATACAATTCCCCAAACAAGTGATGACCAGACTTACCATGACTAGTTTCTCCTCAGACACTCAGATAATGTTGGCAGGTTATCATACAGGTTGACAGTTTGATGGTAAATGGTCTGAGGGGAGGGGAAAAAAAGCTTGATTCCCCAAATATCCACCCCCACACCAACCTCCTCCCCCACCTTAACCCGACCACAGTTCTCTCTCACTCTTGCTCACACCCACTCTCTCATCCTCTAACACACACATACACACATGCACACACAATTATGAATTAAAATGTCCCCATAATATTTACCCACGTATGATGTCAATATGAGTGGCACAGTAGGCAAGTGGTTAGCACGCCCACCTCACAGTGCAGAGGTGTTGGGTTCGATTCCGGCTCCGGAATTCCTGTGCAGAGTTTGCATGTTCTTCCCCTGCCTGCGTGGCTTTTCTCCGGGTACGGGGGTTTCCTCCCACACTCCAACAACATGCATGGCGGGCTAATGGAACACTCTAAATTGTCCTCAAATGTGAATGTCAGCGCAAAAGGCTGTTCTTATTTGTGTGCCCTGCAATTGGCTGGCAACTAGTTCAGGTTGTACGCCGCCGACTGCCGGAAGACAACTGGAATAGGCTCCAGCACGCCCTGCAAACCTTGTGAGGATAAGCGGATCAGAAAGTGGATGGTTGGATGGATGTATGATTTCAATAATGTTTCACATGTGTCAACATCCGTCAACATGTGTACACTGATGATAAGTGATATTTGCTATTGATACCTATACACCCATTTCCAATGAATTCGGGACGTTGTGTTAAACACAAATACAAATGCAATACAGTGATTTGCAAATTATGTCCAACCTATATTTAATTGAATACACTACTTTATTGGACTTTGAATGTTATTGTTTTTGGCAAATAATCATTAACTTTTAATTTTATGGTAGTTTATGGTCTTGTGTTTGTCGTGTACAGTATTCTATTTAATAAAGGTCGATCATAATTTGCAAATCATTGTACTGTATTGTGTTTTTATGTTTAACACAATGCTGCAAGTTCAATTTGGTTTGGTTTCGATTAACATATATATACAGGTAGGTGGTCACTGATAATAAGTTAAATGTAATAGCTGTTTGGGTAAACTTGCCATTGTAATGTACTTGTTAGATGCTAAAAAAAATGAGTACCGGTACGTAATTATTTGACGGTTTTTCCCTGTGTGACATGGAATATCACCAGAAGACTTTTGTCCCACTGCGCTTCCGTATTTCTACTAGTCTAAAATGGCTTCTGCCGTCGACAACGTGAGTAAACGTGTCCTCGTTGCTTTTTACTTTAAGTTGTTATTTGTCTTATTATTGTTGTTGTATTAGGTGTTATATTCCCAACTGTGGCGTGGCCGATGAAATTGTTGCGTAAAATCTAGGCTTGTGTGAAAGTATAATTGTTTTGTCATAAAGACGTTAGCTCCATAATCATTTGCCCACGTTCACCATTTGGACGTTTTGACCCTTGCTTTCCTTTTAAAACATAACCATTTAATTTTCTTGCAGGATTTGATCGACAGTGATTTGCCCAAAGCTGTTAACCTGCTGAATAGTCTCGCAGAGCAGGTAAATTTGTCGTGTGTTACGTTATTTTAAGATAGAAAAAACGTATCAGTATAAATGCATGCTTTAGCATATCAGCAAATGAAGAATTCGTAACATATTTGATTGCGTATTCTTTTTATGTGTCATGCACACAATGTCAAGTAATGCCATTTACTTAATATGATGCATTAATATGATCGCAACTTTCTTGTAGGTGTCAGCAGTTACCAGTCATGTTCAAGACCTGATCACCAAAGTTAAAGACGGTGTATTTAAGACAACAAAGGTGAGTGCAGAATGGGAAATAAAATTTTGTCCTCACAATGCTTTACATACATAAAACTGCAGGTTTAAGTACATTTTACTTCGTGATTTACCAAGGGCTGAATGCTGTACCCAAAGCCAAATGCTGGACAAACAACCCCTGTTTATGCCGCAGCCGCATCTAATCCAGTAAACCACAGATGTCAAACTCAAGGCCCGTGGGCCAGAACTGGCATGTCAACTTGCTAAAATCTCTACCAAAATTTAAAATTCTCATATGTAATCAAAAGGAGACACATTGTCATTTTCTTGTTACCAAACCCCTCATTACAGTAACTTAAACAACAGTTGAATAAACCGTTATTGACTTTTTTTATAACTTAAAAATCTGTGATACGGCTGCGCTACTTAAACAACAGTTGAATAAACCGTTATTATTGACTTTTTTTAAAACTTAAAAATCTGTGATACGGCTGCGCCATAAGCAATGAACCACGTTGTAGTGAGGGTTCACTTGTGTTAAAATACATTTCACTTGCGCCGTCCCTATTAGCCATTGTGTGTCCTCTCCTTCCCTGAGGCAGGGTTTGTCATTTCTGGACCTTCGTTATCACCTGCTACTCTTCTATCTTCAAGACCTCACTCACCTGATCAGCATCAAGACAGAAGGTGGAAAAATAAAGGAGAGCGAAGCCTTAACCCGAGTGGTAACGGTCAGGACGGTAAGACTTTTACTGCCACTAACTACACTGTAACTCTGTAATAGTAGGAGTTGTATTTGACCTATGGTTTTGTTTGTTTTAGGTCCTGGAAAAGATGCGACCTCTTGACCACAAACTCAAATACCAAATTGATAAACTGGTGCGCACAGCTGTCACTGGCAGTTTGGGTAAGGTGTCGTCAAAGTTGGAGACTGCATATGTTGAGTCATGTTCCAGTGAATGAAACGCTGCGTTTGTGTTTACAGCTGAAAACGACCCGCTGCAGCTTCGGCCTAACCCGGAGAATCTCATCAGCAAAGTGCGCTACCTGGCATTCACACTCAGAAAAGTTTCCACTGAAAATACCTGTATAGTTGTTCACCTGATATTAATTATTGAAACAGCTGAGTGAGTCTGAAGATGAAGACAACCAGGGATCGACGAAGAAAGTGGCCCCCTCCAGTGACAAGAAATACATTCCACCCAAGATTGCAGCTGTATACTATGGTAATGTTGATTATATTTAACAGTTTTATCCCTCCCACAACCTTGAAACCAGGACTGCTCAACCAGTTGATGGCGGTACGTTCATGTTTGATTCTCTCTTTCATCAACAACTGTTCCAAACAATTAAGATGTATGCGTGCACGTGCGGTCAAAAAAGGTTGGGCACCCCTGCGTTAAACATTCAAAAGTATGAAAACACACATTTCAAAATAATGTACTTTTTTATTTTCCGCGCCTGTTTGTTTCAGCCATGCCAGATACGGTGGATCCTGTTGAGAAAATGTGCCTTTACAGTACTGTGGAAAACTTGCGCGATCTCTCCTTACCCACTAGATGGCGACATGACAGAAGCAGACAAGAAGAAAGCTCAGGTGGAGCGCCAGCGGCGTGCTGCGCTGAGAAGCTCTGTGATTCAGGAGCTGAGGCAGCAGTACAGCGACGCCCCCGAGGAGATCCGGGAAAGGCGGGACTTTCAGAGTGAGAGAGAGAGCCGTGAGGAGCTACACAGGTGATTTTTTTTGGTCGGGATCCACTTTGTTTAATAGGATGTGAACGCTGATGCTCATCCCCCACCCCCCTGTCTAATAACGCAGGAAACATTTTGAGGAATCCATGATGGTTCGACTGAATGTGCCCAGCCGAGAGAAAAACACCATCAAGCGAAGAATTATGTCCATGTCTGGTCAGCTGGGTGGCATCACACACTTTGGTGACATCACAGCGCTGACGGGTGGTGAGGGTGGCCAGGTGAGCGGTGGTCCTTTCCTTGCAAAGTTTCCCTAACTTTTTGATTTGAAGACCCAAATTGGTTCTTTTTTGTGAGCAAAACTTGTAAAAATGTATTGCCATAGCATCAACAGGTGCATTTGAATAAATTGTGTGTATGTATACATGTATGCATTTATGTACAGTTCGTTTCTGGTCCTAACACTTTGTCCTTGCTGGCTACTTACAGGATGCTGATGACCCTCGGCCCCAGAAAAAGAAGAAGCAGATCATGAAAAAGAAAACTAAAAGGAAAGGTGAGGACATTTCAAATAGACCAGCCATTTAAAATTGATTTGCTATAATACATGATGCAAATCAGGCCACGTGTCAAGTCTTTCCCCTCCCTTTTTGAACTTTTTTTTTTTTTAATGGAGGAAATGCAAAAAGAGTGGATGTTAATTTTTCTTTTCTGATCTTTTTTTTTTTCCTCCACAGCCTTCAAGAAGCACAGATAGATCCGTGAAGTTGTCATCACTCAGATTTAACCATGTTTTGGAGAGAAAGATGTTTGGGGTTTTTTTGTTGCCATGTGGTTGATGAACAATAAATAACTGAAATATATGCGGGTCCTTTCTTCCTCCGTGCAAAAACGCAATACTGAGTCAAAGGAAACCTCTTACATTTCAAGTGCATCTTTGTCACTGAGTGGGAATGGAACCAAGGCTGACCACACCGCAGACGGGCAAGTGGACCACAACGCCATCAGTAACTCAATAACAGTTAGTGATCGGGAAAGTAAAGCTTCATGAAGATGATGGTCTTGGTTTAAGCCGAAAAAAAAAACATGTATAGTAAGGCGTTTTTAGCCCAAAAAAATGACCATGTATAGGAAAGCGTTTTTTGCTGAAAAAAACGACCATGTAGAGTAAGGCATTTTTAGCCACAAAAAAACGACCATGTACAGTAAGGCATTTTTAGCCACAAAAAAACGACCATGTACAGTAAGGCGTTTTTAGCCGAAAAAAACGACCATGTATAGTAAGGCGTTTTTAGCAGAAAAAAAACGACCGTGTATAGTAAGACGTTTTTTATCGGAAAAAAAAAACCACCATGTACAGTAAGGCGTTTTTTGCCAAAAAAAACGGCCATGTATGGTAAAGCGTTTTTAGCCGAAAAAACCGACCATGTATAGTAAGGCGTATTTAACCGAAAAAAACGACCATGTACAGTAAGGCGTTTTTTGCCAAAAAAAACGGCCATGTATGGTAAAGCGTTTTTAGCCGAAAAAACCGACCATGTATAGTAAGGCGTATTTAACCGAAAAAAACGACCATGTACAGTAAGGCGTTTTTTGCCAAAAAAAACGGCCATGTATGGTAAAGCGTTTTT